CATATATATACTTGAACCTCGTTGTTTTGAGTTTCCGAATCACTATTGTTTTTTGCTGAGAGTATTCTTAAGTGCCTATTACATTACTCCCAAGCACATGTAAGACATGTACTCACTCTAGTTAAGCTACTAGCAGTGATCTCAATTCCTTGTTAATGGATCACAGCTTGGCCATCTTGACTGAGATGGAGCTCAAGCATCTTCACAATGTGAATACACGACTGTGGGACCTATCGTTCCAAGCAACTTCTGCTGTCGAAATCACTCGGTCATCAATGTCAATTCCTTTTTCACACTCGAGCTCCCCATCGCAACCTACCACGTCGCTCCAATCATGGACACAACAGGCTACTGGTATTACTGAGTCGTCAAATGAACACACCAACCTGTATGGCTATGAGGCTGCGTCAATGTCAGAAGGAAAAATTCCCGTCTCGTTACCTCTATGGCCTACAGAGCAAGTCATCTCGAAAGGCCGTGACAGCAAGTCAAGGTGTGTCACTAAAGCATTATCTCCGTTTCAGTTTCTTATACTTGGCTGGTAGAGGATTCTTATGCCCTAATTGCCGCTCTTATACCAGCAACCGTTCTTACAACGTGAAACGGCACCAGAAGGCGTGCCAAAAGAAAGCCAACAGGTGTCGCGAGGGGGGAAAGACCATAGACATTGAACTTGACTTTTCGGTGGAAGGACAGGGAGTGGCTGAGTCTTCAACGATTGGGTTGACAGGCAAAGCAAGATAGAGAGAGCAGGGCCATAGCAGGGTATGATGAAGCTATTGATGAATGACTAAATAATTGCGGCGACTTGAATGTAGTTAGATTGGAGTTGGATTGGCTACGGTGGGAAAGCTGGCAATGTCAGGGCATAGTATAAATGAGAGCCAGATACTCAATGTTAACTTCATGTTGGAGAATGGCTCGTGGATGACAATACAGCGACCTCGAAAGACTTTCTATTGCGTGCTCTCAAGATGTAGCTGGTCCTCGCTTCAGTTACAGGATTGGCGACTGCTTTCTGTCAACCGATTCATGGCATCGTTAACTGTCAGGCTTCCACGACGAGATCTTCGTCGGAAGTCTGTAGCAAGATGGCTACTTATCGATTGCCAAAGGTTTCCACCATACTACGTCACCATAGTTTCGAATAATCCGTCGGCACAGTACCTGTATCTGTTCGGTCGCTGAGATGTCGTGTTGCCGGATTTTAGTTTCGGTTTAACCATAGCCCGCCAAAACGGTCATGGTCCACCTGAAGATTTGTATTTGGACTGGCCAGGCACCTGTTCTCCAGAGGAAAATGGTATGTCGATGGATTTAAGCGACGCGAGAAGTAAGGCACGGAGGCGGGGGTTCGGAAATCTGCATTTCGGTCATGACTGGGAGTAACCCAGCGCCACAAATCATCGCACACTCGTCCATGGAGAGGGGGCATTGGCAATTGAAGAAGAGAGTAAAACGGCTCCCTGACGGTGGAGCTATGGAAATAGCGACGGACGTTATACGAAAGGAGTGACAGATGAGATGGCGAAGGATGAGACTCAATTAGCGAGACCGAATGTGTTCATACAGCGGCTAAAGAACTTGGAAGAACGGCCATGGAAGCATGAATTGGTGAATTGAAGTCTAAATGTTCAAGAGAAAACAAGGCTCTTGGGGATGAAATGGGAAACACGGTCTATTTAAAGTAGAGACCAACTACCAAGCCTCGTTGGGGGACCCAAGACCTGTCAAAGCATGCGCCTGTCGGTTCATCCAAACAATGACTTGACAGCTGGCAATTAGTAATTTACCCCAAACAATCTTTTTGTGGCCCTTGCAACAGGTTGTCTTGGTCACAGTTTGGGCGGTTCAGCCGGTCGAGTGCCTGTTGGTTGTGTCTGCAGCTGAACATGCGACCAAGGTTCCGCTTCTTTTGACTGGTTCAACCAGTTCTGCATGGCTGGAGAAAGTGCTTGGCAACTGTAAGTAAAGCACGTTTGGCCTGCTGTAGGGGCTTACCGTCGTGCTGGTGTCGGGGTTGCGTTGAACCGATCTTCTCGGCTTGCGTCGTTTCTTGAGGCATCGTTGACTGCACTCGGCCTGTCTTCCACTCCTGTTCAACTCAGTGACGATGTATGGTATGGCGATGATCTTCTGCGCCAAGTTTCTGATTCAAAATAGAGCTTCATTTCGCGGATGTTTGTGTGCTACTTATATAGGCTTCAACAGCTGCTCATTTCTACGACTCGAGTTACATGGCCTTCTATTCAGCACCTCATCGAGCTCCCTCCTGCTTCCTGCTCACGAGCAAACCTGGGACATTTTTTGAGCATGCGAAGAGCAAAGAGCAATTACGTCGGCTCATATACGTTTGTCGCTCGCGGAGCACGCTGTGACTGACTCGTGGCTTGCTTGCTACCCTTGCGGATTGCTCATTCACCGTGCTCAAGAACTCTGCTCGACTGCTGCATAGACAGAAGAGAAAAGGGCTGTCAGACCATGAGCGATGGCGCGTCCTTCAGCTGAATCCGAAAAATGCACCGAGCAAGACAATGGGTCAAGGTCGGCGCTTAGCAAGGCGTTCTGACCAACAGCAGAACATAGATCCGCTATTGCTGACGGCTACGTCACTCACCCAACAAAGAGCCAAGAGACTGGGAGACGGGAATTGTTTTCTCACATAAGGTGAAACATCGCAACATTCGTCTCGCTCTGTTGTCTCTTGCACTTTCACCTGTGTAGCGGCATGCCTCACCAATCGAGGAGGCCGACAACTGCATAGCACGCTCTCTACCATTTACTACCACGGAGCCTGAGACAAGACAGCTAAAAAGCTCACTCTGACTCTAGGCAGTTCTCAATTTTGAGCGAATTCGTCGAGGATTACAGGCCCCAACGCATCAGCCGCACTGCCAGACTTTGCTTGTTCCAGAAATCGGGCTGGGTGCAAGGGCTGAACGGTTTACTCGGAGAAGTGCTCCGTGAACATTTCTTTTTTATCCTACAATATTTCCCCACGGCTGCGATCGACAGTACACTCGCAGGATGTAGCAATACGAAACTGTAAGAGTTTGCTTTTTACATCATCCCTCGCCGAGCGCCCAATGAACACACCAAGATAGTAAATGAGCAACTTCCCAGCGACACTCTCATTGCGATGTAGCGATGACCCCATTGAACATCATTCAGCAATCAGACCTGTGGCCTGGGATGCTCTTGTTGCTGAGCATTCTTGCAACGACTATTTCAATAACCTTCCTTCATGCACACAAGAGGGACGATGTCTCACTCGCACTCTCTGCGACGCGGCCCTCGATCGTCAATCGCTCGAAGCTCGCCAGAAACGACTCTATTGAAACGAGCATCACCGCTCGAAAGGCAATACAGCAGACGAGCGACGACGAAGCATATCCCCGGGCTTCATCGGGTACAGACACAGGCTCAGATACCAAAGTGCTTTGCCAATACTTTTATTATCTATGGCCGTGCTGGGGCCCTTAGCAAAGGGGTTGTCTTGATGGTTAAACCTGCTGGCTATGGACTGCTGCCGAGAGACGTTACGTCCCATCCTTCTTAGCATGACAGTAAAGAACTATTGCCCAACCTTACATTGTATCTTGGTGGGAGCACGATTGGTCAATCCCTTCTGAGGCGTATTGGTGCGAGTAAACCAGCGATCGAATGGGTAATATGAAGAGTTGCCCTGTGATTCCGCACGAGAGTGGTGAGGGCAAGAAAAATAATAGACGATCTCAAGCACGTAAAATTAGCCAATTTTCTCGAAGGCAGGTGTGAAATGTGGTAGAAATAAGCTTAAACCTGTTAGTCTCAAGGTTGTTCAGAAGACGACTGACGACTGTGGCGGATCAAAGTAGTAGCTGCTTGGCTTTCCGCTTAACTTGCTGGAATACGAAGATCAAGGGGATTTGAGGAATATGGGCCCTCGGACATTTCATCTGGCAACAAGAGCATCTGCAGCCAGTTCAAATGTCTAGTCATACAGCACGTGTCATGTTTCTTCTCATTAACGCTTCAGCCAATCTGGCTAGTCACGATCACCAATTCATATACAACCTTAATTTGACGAGACGTCGATGCACTCTGAGTCTGCCTGAGCATATTAATTGGTAGCAAATCAGACAAGGCGGAATCTTGTTGTCTTAATTTGTATATCATAAGATCTCATATGCATTCCCTTCCGAAATAACACCGAGCGTGGAAGCAATATTGCGCGCTTCTCTGATGGCCTCGAGCTGGTGCTGTATATGAAGCCATCCTCAGAATTGCAGCTGAGATATATCTTTGGCTCCCGACTATCTAAGATATGGTTATTATGGGAGCCGACAATAGTTCTCATTGATTAAGCCAGTTCGGCGTGCAGTATGATCTCGCACAGGTCGAAGGCTCACCTGGTGCCTTGCAGAGTGAGATTGATCCTCTGAAGTGAAACTAACTTCCATTTATAGAGCGGCTATGCTACATTTCAGCGCAGACGGGAGAGACCCTCGTCATGAAACCTCTTCTTTTCCGTCTTTTTACTCCGTACCTGACACGCGTCTTCTGGGCGGAATTAAAACTGACATCTAAATCAGTGGATTACTTGCATCCTGTTGTAGGCCAATCATCAAGAGTCGTGTGTTTCCTTCCACCGAAGGTTATCGGGCGAGGTCAATTCTGATTAATGATACTCATTGGATTCATAGCACCACCACCGTAATCCTCACCCGCTCCCCAGAGTTCGTCCACACCTCCAGCACACGACACTCCTGAATCGATCGCAATTGCAGTAGACACGCCTCCAACCACCCCCCATCTTCTCTCCAAGGTTTCAGAGAATCTTCTCTTTTCTTTCATTTCCCTTACCTCTCCATGGCCGCAACTGTCCAATTGCAAAGGTGAACAGCAGCACTTAGAAGCCTAAATAAATAAATAAATACAGCCTGTTGGCCACGATTTTCTGGTGTTTTCCGATAAGTTCTACTTTTCTTAGTAATTTCCTCTTAGTTATCAACATCAAAATGCACGGCAGGTGTTCTCTTTCCAGCTCCTTTGTTAGCCAATATTGCAGTATTGTAAATACGGGATCCCACCTCGCTTCTCTCAATGACGCAGAGCCTCAGCGCCTTCACGACGTCAACAAAGACTTGTGGCAACGTACATTTCTATCAGTTATGGGAAGCGAACATGATAAATCATCTACTCTCAATATAACTTTTGGCCTGCATGGCAATTCCTTGCCTATACTTAACCCGGGATCTCTGCCCCAGCCCCAGCATGCCCATGCATTCCCCAGCCCTAACACCCCAAACCACTATAACTCTGCATCACCACAACCCGCAATTACAGGCCCTGAGCTTAAATCCGAGCCCAATCAGGACGCCACACCAACCCAAGTTCAAAGTCCTCGGTATGTGAATTGATTCGCTGCTTTTAAAAGAATATATTATTTCTGACTTACACCAGGCGATGCGGTAGCAGGCCTTTCTCATGTCCTGATTGTCGCACTTATGCCACCAACCGTAGATACAACTTGAAGCGACACCGAGAGACGCGGCACCGAAAAATGCGACACAGCCATTAAGAGGAAATAGAACCTTCCAATTGAGAAACTTCGATTTTTATGATGATGAATGATGCCTCGGGCGGGAAGCGGTCGACGGACGTACAGGCGCAACGGCAAGGGAATTGAAGACAAGCAAGATGCAGCCGAAGAACTTGGTACAGCGAAGGGAGAACTTATAACTATTTCTTTGTATATTGTTTTTTGGCCTGATCATTTCATATTGAAGCGTGCCCATTAGAGGAAAAACATGTAAACAGATGTATAAAATAGATACTGAATTGACAAAATGGCTTTTAAGCGCAGAGGTTCGGGCATCAAACCACCAAGAGAAGGGAAGATTCAAGCCCGGTTTTTGAAGACGAGAGCGACTTCTGCATCTGGGGCCGTTGTTTATTGAATCTTCAACCCTCCCGCAATTTAGCAAGGCCGCCCAAGCCTTGAAGCAAGCCCATGCATAAGTCAACCGTGGAGATTTTCTCTATTCGCTCGATACAGTGAATTGTCCAAGGAGAATGCGCGGTGTCTTCAATCTTGCTTTCCCATTAAAGATGTTTCTCCCTGGCGATAGCTCGTTGAGACTATAGTATCGATCAATTGCAGCCCACTCGTTCAGCCAGGTTCTTAAATACGGCCGTAGGAATCACACACGAGTCAAGTTAAGAAGCAGAATGTAATCACAATAAATATCTTGATAGTCTTCCATTTTATTTGGCTTTATGACCCTGAAGCCATTTACTTGACGGTTGGAGGTGGATTGAAGAAGCTCAATGAGGGTTCAACCGCACAGCCATGCCCAGTCCATCGGGTATTCCTACGTGGCGTGGGTGCGGCCGCGGCTTTGGTATCTGGCCCTGACTGGAATATCAGTGTATACTTGGTCCATGATGGGCAACCCCGGTCAGGATCCACCACATAAGCATCGGATCCTTGGGGCAGACCCTATTTGGTACCTTTCAATGGGTTGCAGACAGCTACCTCTGCCGTGTCCAGGCTCCGTCATTTCAGCTACAGCTCCGCTTTCCGCGAACTCAAAATCTTCTCCGAACAGGATCCCTTCTGCGGGAGGCAAGTGGGATATTGTCTAACACAGGCAAACAAAAGCAATTAAGCCCCTAACATGAGTTCCTGCTCAGACTTTCCATGCAAGCGACATGAAAGTCACTAGAGATCTCCGAGCGTATCGACCCCCGCGATCCAACTAAACAGCCTGTATGAAGTTAGGGATGTTGAGTAGCAGTGCAGGAGCAACGAAGATAGTCAAGTTTTCAAAGAGCTGTGTTCCATCACTCAGCAGACTGTATAGGAACTCATTTCAGCTTCTCGAATCATTGGCCCCAGAGACAACTTGCGCCTAATAAACGGCGGGCGTGCAGAGCCGCTGCCAGGCCCACATTCCACGCACGTGGTAGCCGCTCCATTGGACTTTTTTTACTGGTGTCGGCTTCGACGGAGCTCAAAGAAGAAGCTTGGCAAAAAGAAGCTTGGCCATGGGAGAAGCTTGGCGTTGGCAGATGGTCATTGCCAAGGCCCACACACCCTGACTTGGCTATGGCCAAGCAATAAGCCAAGAAATGGCAATGATTGAAGAGCAATTGCAGTCATTGCAGCAGCTACCAGAATAAATACATAAATACACATAGGGCATCACCATGTTGACGCTTCCCATCCGTTTTGTCTTCACCTCAATGCCTTTTCAGTATTTACCACCAAGATGCAAGGCATGCCTCCTCACTCAAGCTCATTCGCTAGCAGCGCCCATCATGTCGCAACAGCGGGAAGCGACTTGACGTCCATGGCCGAGGCAGACCCCAAACCACTTCATAATGTGGACGTATATATATGGGAAATCTCTTATCAGTCAGCTACTATCCAGAGACAAATTTCAATGCCATTTTTTTCATCTGCTTCTTCTCCATCTACTACACACTCTCGTACCTCGTCACTGCCTCAACAATCTCCTCAACCACTCATTGAAGACACCGACCAGCATCATTCTGTCTCACCAACAACCCCTGTTACCGTCAACTTGAGGCTCGAAAAATCACTTCCAGAAGAGGCTCTACCAGCTCATAATCAGAGTACTAGGTGTGTCAATTAGAAGCACGGTCATCAAGTCATGGTCTGACAACGAGTTAGCAGGCGGGCTTTATGTCCGAAATGTCGCGCCTATACCAGCAACCGCTCGTTCAATATGAAGCGACATCGAAAAGCCTGCCACAAGAAGGCTACGAGTGGTCGACAAAAAGCTAAAGAGAATCCGAGGTCGAGAGTGTCTGGCACGGCGGCGTTCCGAGGTTGAGGTGAGGGCCTGGAGGCGAATACAAACTTAACAGGTAGGCTGGGAGAGGTGAAGGTCGAAGAGAGGGCTCGACATAAGAACTCAACTGGATGACTGTAAATTTTTATCTGTTTCTCTTAATACTACCTATAAAGTAGCGTAGCGCTCGCTGGAGAACTCGCAAAGTTTATGTACATATAGATGCCCAATTAATGATATCACATTTGGAATAGCTTCACTTGTCAGCGTCTACAAAACCTTCATCTTTGGACCATGTTGAATCACATAATCTGTATAATAGATATATGTTTATTGACACATAACGTCTCCAAGAATTATTCTTGTAGGATCACTCTAGGTTCAGCTTCCTTTGTCTCGCCCTCGAGAGCCTGCCATCCGTATGAGTCCCAATGTCTCCCACAATCTTATAGGGTCACTCTGCAACCTACACTCATAGCACTGATAATGGGGAGCTTATTCTTAAAGCAAGAATCTAGAAGTGACACCTTCGTCTCGATATTATCGATGGCATCGATCACAAGGTCAAGTGCATACCCATCTTCGAGAAGAATTACTTCAGTGAGGTGCAATGCAACTCAAGCATCTTCACATTGTAAGCCAACCCAAGAGTGTCGTTATCACCAATTTCAAGCAAACCGGCCGTGTCATCAATTGACGAGCTGCTCCCTTGAGTAATAGACCTTTTCTTTTTCGCTCTAGGCAGCCATTGCTGTGTCTGTGTCCTTGTTCTTCGGTCGGGAGGATTGGACGAGGTCGAGGTGGCGTCTCGGTTCGGCAACAGCTCTTTGACTGGACCATGTATCACTCGCAGAGACGACATCTTCTGGTTCATTCAGCCAAATTTGGAGCATGACCGAATCTATGACTGGTAAGCTGAGATTTGAAGAAAATGACGAGTAACGCCTTACCTCGAGACTTCTTTTCTTGCTTTGTCTGTTGTTCTGGTGTCGACATGACTGGCTTTGATCAACCACTTTCACAAGGATTAAAGCGATGTTTTTTGCCCTCGACATCTTGCTTTCTCCGCGGTTGGGTCTAGCTGCTTTATACCCTCTCAGTCACACTTCTTATGGACCTTGCAATTGCTCCGGACAGCTCCTCGAGTGCTCACTTACTCGGAGCAAGTGGGAGCTTTGTTGCTCCCAGCTCCGGATACTTAGGCCGGCTACCTACTATTACTACCAGGTGGGTGTACTGCCATGTCAAACAACAGTTGGATTACACCACGGCACTTGGGGAAACGTAAATGGTTGGTCCTGATGAATTCATCAGACACTAACTGAGATCTGCAGGGCTGAGAGGGGGATACCAGGAAAGGGACGCCACTTGAAATGCCCACTGACACCTGTACGCACAATCCAGGTACGTACAACAATAAGCCGAGTCTGCTCAGGCTGAGATGACTTCCAAAATGAGTCATTATTGGCCCATCTTACAGTCGGCGCCAGCATTTGCATCAGCCGACGGAGTTGTGATGTCGTGCTGGCTACAAAACCATCCAAGTCAGTTGAGCACAGGTCAATGGTATAGACTGAACGGCGAGGTGCCCAACCTTCGCAAATAAATCTTTATTAACCTCACATCACGCCAAACCAGCCTGGCAGTATTAAATACCTACGCGGCACGTTGGCGCTACAAAATAAAATAAATACTTCATTATTAGTTACTTAGCCCTATAGCTCTCGTAAACAATTGACAATGCCAGAGAAGCCTTGGGCTTGGAAGAATGTCAGGATCTTGGGAGTGCTATATTGTGGAGGTAAATAATAATTGAAGAGAGTCCACCTCAACACCCGAGTTGCGCCCTCGCATTATCCAAGCACCTACGTTACCTACTGACCGCTTGGGGAGTGTCGCTTAGGGACTTGAGGGAGTGTGATTAAGTCGGCTAGTCGGACATATCAGACGGCCCGTTGGTCGCCCAAAGAGCGTCCGATAATCGTGGGTGAGAGCTTAAATGACCACACTAAGGGACACCCTGGACCCAAAAGCGCCAATGAGGCAGACTTTTGAGAGGCGACCACAGATTTGTGGCCAATGAAGCAGCGGTGACCACAGATTTGTGGTCAAAGGGGACTATAAGTACCCACCAGAAGAGGCTCTAACAAACAACTAAAACCGTCGTATAAGACCAGTATATTAGATCGGTCCCCTATTCGATGGCATCACTTCTCTTTCTCAATGAGCTTCATTTCTGTTACGTATCTATATCCTGCGAATATTCTACAGTTTGGGAAGCCCACGTCAGACTTCGGTTGGGTTATCGATTCTGCACTAACATCCTACACTGCCCAAATCCCAATACATAACTTTCGGCCCTTCATACATTCTTTCCTGCTATCCGAAAATTGAGGGTCATGATGTCAAGGAACCCAGATGTCTCCCTGCGGACCCTTTCGGCCGCTGACGGGTTCCTCGCTGGGCTTATCTACCTTGGTGCAACGAAACAAGCCACGACCCAAAACCGAGTCACTGGTCGTTTTACCCCCACTAACCAATCGTGGAGATGCCTTGAGAGGATTTGGATCAATCTCGAAACTGTTCACAGTGGCATGTTGGAGCTGGTTCCCATATTGAGTCTCCGAGGTATCGACAATACCCTTGACTCTTTCATCAGCCCAGTACTGTTCTTCCAGGCTGTTACTTTGTCGCTTCGAAACATTTTGATTGGCCGGCCACCCAACACTTTTGGTGACGTTATTACTCTCTTCTGTCTGTCGCACGAGGTGTCCCGCCATCTCAGAAGCAGCCACAATTCGACGATGAGTGATCCTAAACTTGACATTGGTCAATGGGGAAATGCCATCAGCAAATACGATCATCGACAAGCATTCTCCAGTCTAATTCGGGCGTTGCTCCCGGAAATAGCGGCCCCAACCCCGCCTCCGAGCTTACTGGACCCTGTAACGGCGGATTACAACCATACTCTGCACCTCATGGCCACTCACCAAGATACACAACTTAAACCGCCTTCTCAAGGAAGCGAACTCATTGGCACTTCTTTACAATACAGTGGTGTGCCGCCAAACCTACTCAGTCTCATTGAATCCCAGCCTACAGAGCAAGAAGCGCACGATGACCTTTACACCTTTATTGGGGAGACAGGGTTCCAGACTCTAGCCCCGTTAGATCCACACGGATCGGCCCTTGTCGCTAACTTCACGCTCTTTCTGGAGCAATACGGAGACCTGTTCCAGAACCTTTCCGGGAGTTGGGTAACAGCAAAGAACCAGTATTCACCTTCATCTGCTCTCAATCGGGAAGTGCCCCAGAGCAATGATGTCAGCTCATACTTGCAACGCATGCAACAAGATGGATCCTTTCAAGATTCATCCTCAACGGGCATTCTTTCCATTGTCGATACATTCATCCAGCTTGGGTACCTGCAAACCCCCAAAGACGTCCAAGAGTACATGATCATCGTTGGCAAGGTACAGAGACACGATACTGAATATGACCTTCGCGCAGCTGACGCGAAATCTAGGAAATTATACCCGACAGAGAATATGTAAATTTCGTTGCGAATACCCTTGGGATGGCTTTCCCCTCAGGCTCCAGAAGCCCCTCTACACCACGCGCTACAGGGCCAGCGCCGTACGTCAAATCATAGACCGCCTGTAATACGATGACTAACATAATGTATACCAGAAGAAGGTTCTCTTGTTCCATATGTCGGAAACGATTCACAAGAAAGAACAATATGCAGCGACACCGGAATAGCGTTCACAAACATGAAGCTGGCAGCGATTGTCTGACGGGACCTAGCACGAAGGACATTCTGTTATAAACAAACCTACATGATGGCTAGCCCGAATTTAGATAAACACATGGATGTAAAAGGTCGTATTAACGTCTCCTTTTCGTTTTCATTCGATTGAGACAATGTCATTCAGTTATGCGGGCCTACGCTACCCTCAATTCTTCTTGTTGCTCTGGTGAGCTTTGTGTTCGCGGTTTGAAGTCTCGGCCAAGTGATGGCCCGATCGGATGACGTGATATCTTGAGACCTTTCCAAACAGGTACCAAGCATGGCAAATCGTTGTTCGAGCATGTATCAATGTCTCTCGGACCTCGTCGTGGTGCCGACTATGTCCCCGCGAGATCCTGCATAAGAGACTTGGTGGTATCCGTAGTGTGACCTAGTTCTTTGAATAGGGACATCAATCAGATCTCTACCGCGCTGTACAACACTTTTGAGGGTAGCCCCAATCAGGTGACCCACATATCTATTCTTGAGGCGACTATGATCTCTAATCTATCATCGGTGGTCTCGTTCGTGCGTTGGAGCATATTAAGTCGCTGGAGCAAAGTTGTCAAGTACACCGATTGAAAGTCTCTGGAAAACACGATGCCCGCTCTTCCGGCCCACATTATGGGTTGAGCTATGAAAACATGCATATGTGTCGTAGGAACTGAGCAATGCCGTGCGCCTCACTTTTTCTGTACATAAGTAACCCGAGCTAGACCTCTGACACTTTACTGAGATATTCTCCTGATCAAAGGTATAAGAGTAATCTCTTCTTGCCATTCTCCGTCGCTAAAAACTTGCTTGTCAATTTTTCAATCACTCATGGACACAACACAAAGCTCATCAAATACCACTGCCATCGTGGCAATTGACGGTTTACATGCAAGCCTGATTTACCTCGGTGAGACACACCCCAGTACCACTCGCACCGAACTACAGAGCCCGGTGCGTTGGAGATCTATCCTTGACCTCCGCATAGAGATCGAAAAACACTGGGAAAGCCTGATCAGCCTTACACAAAAACAAGATCTACCAGGCCTTGGCATAATTCTCGAATCCTTCCCTACTTCTGCTCACTTATACGAGGCCGCCATCTTCACCTTTCGCAACATCTCAATAGGATTAAAGCCTGACTCTCTAGAGAATATATTTGCGATTTTCAGCTTATCCTATGTTGCTTCAATATGTTCCCAAAGAATGAGCAAGCCAGAAATTGACAACATTTTCCACGACATCAATATTTGGCGGGACTCAATTGCCTTTCCTCAGCATCGACAATTATTCAATGATCTCATTCAACGGCTTCGGATGGGCATGACAACATCCTTGTTCCAAACAGAACATTTCTTATATTCAGTCTCCCCATTCAATGGCCAGTATTACATGGGGCCCCAGGGTGTAACCATGCACGATATCTCATTATTCGGCGATTTTTCCGACCCGTTCTGGGGAGATCATTTCGACGTGCCACGTTCTCCCCCGGGGCCCAATTTCCAGGTGGCAGGCCCTGAAGGGATATCCCGCACTGTACCTGACACTCCAGAGCTCCAACTGCCATCTGGAGAAGATCTGCGCCAATCGGCAGTCATGAACATCCTGACAAGCTTCATCGCCAATTGTGGAGATCTAATGGACATTCTCAGTGGACATGGAGTGACCACGAAAGGGCCCCATTCTGATGTTTCTTTGGAGGTAAAGAACTTCACCCAGGCTCTAAGGCGACATGATTCCTTCGGAGACCCATCTGCTCGTGGAATACTCGCCATTGTAGACAGATTTGTGGACCTGAATTATTTCCAGAGCATCGACGAAATCCGAGACTACATAATAATAGTCGGAAAGGTATGGTGTTGAACCATGTTCAGAGCACAGAAGAAGACTAATATGATGTAGGAAATGCTGCACAGCGGTCAGACCTTTGCAAAAGTCTGCAAAGCCGTCTATTCGTCCACAGAGATGACAAAGACACCCCAAGTAGTACGACGTCAGCACGCAAGGCGTCCGCTAGATCGCAAGCTGTAAGTCTGCCAAGACGCGATGAGCGTATACAAATTGACAGGCAACCCGCTTCAGGAAAAAGATACCATGTGACCAATGCGGAGAAGAATTCACACGGAAGACCAATATGAGACGACACATTGCCAGGAAACATGCAAACCACAGTGCGTCCGATGCGCCGATGGTGTCTGTGCGTACTGGGTAGCAGATGGTGAAGAGTTAGGCGACAGTATATGGCACAAGACATTTGAGGTTTACAATTGACGTTCGGGCTATAAGAAGAGGCGGAATGAGATATTTGTACCATATGAGATCTCGCTGCTGGAAATTATGTCTCAACTTACAACTCGAAGGTATTGATTGACTTGGTGTATTTCCTGATATCTAAAATAGCGTAAAGTTCTCACACTTGGGACTACGCGCCTTGAACTTGACTATCATGGCGAGTCAACCCCTACCGGTTTTCAATTCCATAAAAATAATAAAAGAAAACAAAGGAGTGAATTTTCAATAGCGAGTAAGAAGCAATAGATCTCCATGATAGATACAACTATCGACAAGCTATAACTATTCGTCATCGTCGTTGGTTGTGGAGATCTCGGCTCGCACTCATAGCAGCTTTTGTGTATTCGATTGACCGAAGACCTGGAATTTGATCAGGTGATTCTGGGCTCACTCGGTGCTGGATAAGGCCCGCTGAAGCCCGCTGTTGCAGTGTTGCAGTGTATCTCCTTGTATCTCCTTGAAGGCGATAACATATGTGGGTCTACGCTAAAAGGCACACAAGGGTTAATAGCAAATCGCTTAGCTAATTTAAGCAAATATACTGTACCATTGGGTCATTCTGGAATTTCATTTCAACCCTCTCCTTTTTCAAGCAACCACGAGCATTCAAGATCTTGGACACGGCCACAGACCCATTGCAAAATGCCCTAAAACTTAATACCGCGGTAGCCCGCCGTCTTCTGGCTATGATATAAATATGGAAGAAGTACAAGATTCCTCGAAATGTTGAAATTGCAAGCTATTTCAGTTTTACCTAACATCTCTTAACATCTTTCCCATGGACTCATACAGCCCCAACAAGGAAGCCATCTCCGCGGTCGATGGTTTGCTCGCGTGCCTTATCTACCTTGACGAGACCGGCTCAGAGCCGACGGACCCACTTGTTCGTAGTCTCCGGCAACAAACCGGCCATTACTGGGAGAGCCTTACACGACTTGCATCCACTCATACTATCCCTTGCTTCACTGCCCTCTACAATTCTTTTGACTCCCGCACACACTTCTACGAAGTAGCCATCTTCACCTTTCGCAACATACTGGTGGGCATCAAACCACATTCACTCAATAACATCTTCCCGCTCTGTAGCTTGTCCTACATTGCTTCATGCTGCCTGCAAAACCACGATAATGTCTTCGATATTGAAGTCTGGCGAAGTGCGATCCTTGATCCCGAGGAGCGTCAAACTTTCAGTAATTTAGCGGGCATTGTTTGGCCACAAGTACCATCAATATTAACTGATGATCCTCTCGAGCCCCAGCTGCTGACACTCTTGTTGGGGGCTTCTACCTACCAAAACCCATCCGCTCAAAGCTCAACACTTGGATTCGACTTCATGCAAGATGAATCGCTGCTCAATGATTTGTCCGATCCGTTTTTGGATTTTAATGCAATACCCGATTCGCCAGTCGCGTTTGGCATCGAGATATCGCAGCCAACTTCGAGTAGTCTCCAAGGCTTACAAGGTTCAGCGATCGTGTCTAACCTTATCTCCTTCCTGACAGAATGTGGGGATTTCCTCCACGTTTTCTCCGGGCGTGCGGTAACAACCAAAGACTTGTACTCTTGTATCGCCTTTATTCAGGGAGGGGCAAGGGTCAAAAGTGTGATCAACACTTGTTTGAAACGTCTAAAAAGCGATGAGACTTCCCAAAGTCTGTCTGCGGTGGGAATCTTGTACATTGTAGAGAGATTTGTCGCCCTCGGGTATCTACAGACCCCAGAAGAGCTGCGAAAGTACATGTTGTGCGTCGGACGGGTAAGTGGTCAATCGCCTCCAAAAACGGGCGCACCATCGGACTGATAAGTCTCAGGCAGTCATACTTGAAGACGAAGCTCTTGCGGAGTTTTGCCAGACAGTGCGTGAAACGACAGCCACTGTTTCAAGTCCTCTAACTCCTCCACGTGGAGGTGGCCGACGACTCAAGGAACTCAGATTGATCCCGCGTCGGTAAGTTACTTCTCTTGTCTATCCGTCGTGATCGTATAGCTTACGAACATTGTGATTGATCAGAGTGATTCCATGTGAAGTGTGCGGTCGATTATTTTCGAGAACATACAACAAGAACCGACATGTCGAGACCAAACATCCTCGGTCCCAGCTCAGCCCAAGCGCCAATGGGTTGGTCCAGGGTAGCATGCGATTGACAGCTTAGGATGGCGAATGGTTCACAAAGTGAGGAGGATATCCGCGGTTTTTGTATTTTATAGCGTACGGTTTTTAATTACGCGGAAACGTTTTACGCGTAAAGTGGTTTGGTGTAGCAGTTCAGCTGCTGAAGCAGGTTGGGCGTTGCCAGAATATTTAGGTACCTAGACGGTGATACACGCTCGTTATTGCTGGGAATTTATCGGATGTTTTATAAATCACTGGCGACTGACACTGATTCATTCATCGCGACCTCTCACAGCGCAATCATTTATGGTAATGAGATCATCCACAATTTGGGCTTTCAGTTGTATCTTATAGCATGTGACAACGTTCACCCCGAACTCTACGGCAGCAACGGCGGTGTGATCTTTGAGCGACGTAACACCATGGCAGTGCCATGTAAACACGCGTCGAAAATCCGCCGAAATTCCCGACAACAAGCGATCGATATCGCCATATTTGCCTCGTTGTTCTCGTCATGAGTGATGCAAACAGTCAAGTTTGTGATGATCAACTACCGACAGGGCCCCGCGGGAGGCCTCGGGCCCTGGTCGGTTGGTAATTTGAGTTTATCTACAAGAGACTTAGCGAACGCCGGGGTTAAACGCGTTTAAGATTAAAGATCTGAATAAGCACAAATGCCAATAAAATCACCGACCGTGGAGCGGAATCGAGGCTTGGCCAAGCACACGACAGTTGCCGCGTGGCTGCCAACCTGGTTCTATACATGTATTCCAAAATAGCAGCACACGATACTGAAACAAGCTTAAGTCCCAGGTACAGCGCAGCAAAACAGGTGCCTCTAGCCGGAATGGCATCGCCACAAGAGAGTCAGTGAAACAGTTGGAGTGGATCTGAGGGTTACACCTGAGAGGTCGATGATGGAATTGCGGCTGGTGATGACATGTAAAAGATGGCGCAGACCTTGGAAGGGCCTAAGATCGGCGCAGGGATGAGCTGAATAGCGGGCTGTGGTTGGGTGATGGGGGTGGGACATGACGCAGTGCGCTATGATGCTTCATGCAGGGCCTGAAATGACAGGAGAGAAAGCAGGCAATCAAGCTGAGGGAGGCAGGGGAGCCGAGAGCTATATCAAGGAGAGGATCTGCACTCGTTTCTCTCCTCCATCATTCTCAGTCACTCACCTAAACAACTACTTCTCTTCCTCAACCATTCAACCAGTCCATCAATACATCTTCATCACATAACCACAACTAAACCTACACACAACAACAACACTCAAGATGCTCTACACACAAGTCGCCCTCCTCGCAGCCGCAACCCTCGTCGCCGGCAACGCAGCCCCCCAGCCCGAAATCACCCAACCCGCCGTCCTCCCTCGCGACATCATCCCCGACGACGTCAAGTCCTGGGTCGAGAGCAAAGCCTCCGCCGCCGGCGCGGACGTCGACGACTGGGTCAAGAGCCACTACTCCGAAGCCGAACAATGGGCCTCCTCTAACGGCGGCGACGCCAAGACCTGGATTGAGGGTCAAGCCTCGCGCGCCAGCACTGCTCTTGATGGAATCAGCTCCAAGGTCCGCACTGCTATCGATGAGGCTAGTGCTAGTGCCTCTGCGGCTACGAACAACGACAATGCTGCTGCTACTGTTGGTGGTGGACAGGCTGGTGTTGTTGCGTTCATGGCGGCTGTTGGTGCTGCCGTCTTTGCTTTCATGGCTTAAGCGCTTCATGACTTGTTTTACTTGCGACACCTTGATACCTTACGCGGCATGGACTTCAATTTGCATCGGAGTTTACGGAACCCTGGGGCATAGAGAACGGCGACATTTAGAATGTGTGGTCGGGAATGGCTCGGTCAGGGAATGGGAATGGATTGACGCTGAATCATGAGAGCGACAAAGAGTTAGAAACAATTTCACGCATACGAACCTTCAATCGCCTTGACAATGTGGTGACTGTGTGGTATTGCCCGTGGCGAGTAACTTGTCTAACTCGGCAAACCGCCTGTGACCTGATGCATTTGTTCTATGATAATGCTCATCTAAATAATATACAATTCTATACCCAGTATCCAAACAAACAATGAGTCGCGATTCTATCCATCGTTACTTTTTACAACATTATCCACATGTTCATCACTATTTACCCCTCAGCTGCAACCCATATGGCGCAAGCTGTTCCGCCGTAACCCTCGTCGGCGCCTTGACAAACGGATCATCACCCTTCATCGTCTTCGGAAACGCAATCACATCCCTCACGGTAGTCGTATCCGTCAAAAGCGCAACCAACCGATCAAAGCCCAGCGCAAATCCCGCATGTGGCGGACACCCTGCCTTAAGCGCATCAAACAAATGCGCAAAGTCCTCGATCCTACTGTCCTTCATCTTGAGGATATCCCGCATGATGAACTCCTGCACGGTGGGAATGTGGATACGCTCGCTGCCGCCGCCGACTTCTACGCCGTTGAGGACGAGATCGTATGCTGCGCTCTTGGCCTGCAATGGATCTGTGAAGAGGAGTTCGAGGTCGTGTTTCGACTTCGGCGCTGTGAAGGGGTGGTGCGCTGCTGCAATGCCGGCGGAGCCTTCTTGGCCTGGATCGTTGTCCTCGCCGGTGGGTTTGAACATGGGAAAGTCGATTACCCAGACGAATTGCATTGAGTCGGGAGTACCGGGTGCGGGGAGGTCTTCTACGAGGCCGTTGGCGAGAAGCTTCTTGTACAGCTCGTTGCGGATTTCGCCGATTGCTGTGGAGGCGCGGTAGTATTGACCCTTTGGCTTCTCGCGGGCCTGGAAGACGAGAATATCACCCTCTAGGACACCCTTTCCGCCAGTTGCGATGTTGACGATTTCGTCGCATTCTACACCGAGTGAAGAGAAACCGCCGCGGGGTTGTCGCGAGTCACAGACTAGTATCACTGGCATGCCATCTTTGTTCTCGCGAAGGTGTTTCGGTAGTGATTCGATGAACTCTTCAGTGAAGCGCTTTGGTCTTGGGATGTCGTCTTCGAGATCTTTGACGGGGATGTGGAAGGCTTCGATGAGGGGGTCTTGAAGGTATGTCATCATGCTGGCGAACTGCTCGCACATTTCGTTCGGTATCGCGTGGATCTGGAAGTGTTAGTGATGGATTGACACGGGGAAGATGCGACGTACTCTTCCTGGGAGGCGCAAGTCTGGCTTGTCGGTTCCGTACATCGAAATGCACTCTTGGAACGTAAGTGTCGTGACCTTGTGCTGAACCGGTTCATCGGCAGGACGAGAACCTTCAGGAATGTCTGCAATCACAGGCACACGACTTCCCCGGATGTTCTTGTAGCTATGCGCAGGCCGCAAAGCCTCCAGCGACCGCAGCACAATATCCGTGACATCCTTCCTCACCACCTCAGCATTCGCAAACGCCCACTCCATATCAAGCTGCGTAAACTCAGGTTGTCGATCCGTACGAGCGTCCTCATCACGATAGCAGCGCGCCCACTGCATGTATCGCGAAACACCACTGGCCATGAGGACCTGCTTGTACTGCTGGGGACTTTGTGTGAGAGCATATGCGAAACCGGGTCGGCGGGTTGGTACGAGGAATTCCCGTGCGCCTTCGGGCGTTGACTTGAATAGTGTTGGAGTCTCGATATCTGTGAAGCCCTTCTCTTGCAGACCAGCTGTCAATTGTCCCTTGAGCCATGATCGGAATTGAAGTCTGGCTAGGAGCTCTGGGTGGTGGCGGAGCTGGTAATGGCGCTTGGTATCGGGGAATATGACGTCGGGTGTCACAATGAGGTTTTGCTGTACGTTGTTCAATGGTCGGATATCTTTGACGTAAAAGGTTCGCTTGGAGGGTTGCTTCTCGGCGTCTGGGCTTGGGTTCGCCTCGCTTTCGGTGCTAACGACGACTGGACTTGTGGCACGAATGCTTCGAAAGAGAGCAGATGCTTCGGGGTATTTCGTCGAGTCAGCGCATAGCTGAATGACTTCACCGGATGGTAGAACAAGATCGGCGAATGAGAGCTTTGACGACATGTTCCTCCTCTTATTCATGAACCCTGCATACTGCCCGCTGGCACCAGGCGTAGTCGGTATACCCGCATTGCTATCTGGCGCACGTTAGCACCGACCTAGCGGGCATTGTAGTCGTCGTACACTGATCCCAGAGCTTGAGAACATCGTCTTTGGTGGGCTGAGCTTTTGAGTAGGCGATGGAGGAGTGGCTGAAGCTTCGGGGGAGGAATTGTCGGCTGCGCAGAGGAATTAAGGATCGAGTGCATGTGCTGAAGCGCAAGGAGGCGTGACATCGAGAGAGAGGGAGCGCCATGGCTATTGTTGTGTCAATTGAGGCATTGGATTGTTTGGAGGAGGATGGTGGGCCGATTGACATGGAATTTCGTGGTGAGCTTCGGTGAGAGGGGCTTATCGATAAGGGACCGCTCCTCGGCTGCCCTTCTGCACCACAGACGACAGCACGTTACACTGACCTGACTCTATAAACGGAGGACAGCGCTTTGACAATGGAGACGGGAGAGATTCCATGGCTGAAGGCGGCTCATCTGACATTCCCTCGCGTGCGCCAGGGTTCTTCACGCGGACTAGAGCGTCAGCACCAACAGCCACCAAACCCTGACAATGAATCGGGGCTGAATTAGTCGAGTCGCGCCTCAATTGATGATGATGCTTGAATGTCATATCCAAATGGTATTATGCCAGGCTTGCTATGCTTTTTCTATGATACAAGGCCCAATTCGAGTGTACATTAATTATCTGGGCCCAAGATCTATCTTCCCTTGGTGTAACGATACTTCGTCGTCGCCCGAACCTCGATCACTGGGATCGCCATGCGGTATGCTTCCATCTCTTGTCGCAAGCCCCCTTTGGCTTGAGTTGGGCTCGTATGCATCATCTATCCGATGGAAATGCCCCGTCTTTCCACCCGTGCCCCCAATCGTGACGAGCTCGGTTTGCAGTCCCGTGTGAGCAGCTGCATCTTTTCTTGATGTGATGCTTTCGAACTTGGATGAGATCATGAGCATCAGTGGTCGGAGTGTTGGGAGGCAAAGGGCGATGGTTCCGCAGGCGACTTCGACGACACACCAGGTGCAAGCTGTAGCGAGGGTCCCTGTTCAAGTTAGTTGAGAGTCGCAGGCGTGCGTGCCGCTCGAATTCTTACATGTTGTATCGATGGGGTCGAATTGCATGATGGTTGTGAATCGGTATATACTGGCGAACAAGACACTGAACGGGTCAATACCAAGGACTCACAGGCTGGTAGGTCAGAACTTACAAACTGCCGAGCAAAAAGATAACCAACAGTGACAATTTTTGCGCCATGTTGACCTGCAACTTCAAAATTGGCCCGACAGGCAAACACAAAATCGCGATATCCGTTGCAATATTCGGTATCGCATTGCCAATAAAGGAAGCCTTGAGGTTGATGCAAGTCCCATAATCAAGCCACGGCATCCAAGCCTTCTTGATCGGATGGCACTGGAAGATGCACACGGCGCAAATCGCAATCCACCAGCCAATCACGACAGCAGCGATGATGGCCGAGGCCAATCGGAAGTTTCGAGATGGGAAGATGCGCAGGTACATCGATAGGAGGGCGAGTTTGATGAGCATCACTGCCGTGACGTAGATGCATTCGAAGGCGAGGAGGATCTTGAAGAAGATTGTTAGATCTTCTTGCGACACGCGCTTTGCATGCTTTCCGAGGCCATGCGCAATCACTGATCGATTGTTAGCAACAATACAAACCCCAATAAACGATCTTACTTACTGCCATAATTGAGACCACCTGTGATGAAAACAAAGACCTAACTCATTGTCAGAATTGTACAACTCTTGGCACCCAACCAAACCCACCAGCGCTACCAGAGTCAACCAGTCATCAGTTCCAAATCCAATCCTCACATATCGCGCCCAGAAGCGCAGAGCGACAAACACAGCGGACAGAACGAGAACAATTGTCGTCGTGGCATTGAGCTCGCTGCTCCGATCGGTGTTCTCGTCACGGCCATACAACGAGGCCATACTGAAGAAAAAACGATGATGCTGAAACAAAAAAAAAGGGAGGACCAAGTTCACATGAGGGGATGTCGTAGGGATGAAGTAACGAGAGCAATGCACCACAGTACGAGAAGTATTCCAGAAGCAGCCGGGCTTTAAACTTAGTTTCGAATCTCGAATTCGCCCCGGATATTTTCTTCTCACAAGTGTTCGATAAACCTCCCGTCCGTTTCTCACTACTGAACACGCTAGCTGGGCGTTGCGAGGTGAGGTGACATCGCGAGCGAGGTAAGGGTCTGGATCAACGAGTGGCTTTTTTTCGACGCCAACGGGGAAGACTCCCTAACTTTGCGGACGATCATCCCATCGACCAGTCAGACGCTCACAGATGCATTTAGCGCTGTCAGATGTCAATTTCCGTCGAGTCAAGCCCGGCGAGTCCCCCTTTGTTCGCATTGTTGCCCAATCTAAACCTGTGAAAATGAAGATCTTTATTGCTCGCAGAAGCAAAAAAAAAAAAAAAAAAAGAAGCAATATACGTAATGGGTCAGAGGAGTCGACTATTGAGGGAAAATTGCAGGGTTGCACTCGTAATGTACCAAATCGGCTCTAATATGGATCGATACCTATTTTGAAGTCTGAGCTAGACAAGGGACGTGGCTGTTTTTGGATCCATTGAAATGCGGCACCGCGCGAAAGAAACAGTTGAGGTCTGAGCGACCTACAGCCTTATCATCTTAAAAATGCACCTAACAAGCCCTGTCTAGTGCTTCGACGGCGGACGGAACCAGTGCCCCGTGTGCTGATCAGTCTCGGTTGGGCTCCAAGTCTTTCTTTCGGAAATCAACGGTTTTAACTGGTCTCCTATTAGCTCTTTGACCTTATTGTGAGCAGTCACATAAGTCAATAAAGAATTATTGCTTTCACAATTAACTGAGTCTGAGCTCGACGGACGGCAGGTTGAGTTTCGATGTTTGAATCAGATGAAACAATTCACCCGGGATTTCGGCACCTTTGATACCCAGCAGCGTGGTATCGTCACTGGAACACGCAATCCTTGCACCATGCTAGGCGAACCATTAGTTATTCTCCAGTGTTCTTTCTAAGCCTGGTTTGGCGTTCACCTCCTTAATTCACCAAATTCCCGGGAAAACTGAAACAAAGAATGTCATTGTTAAGAGCGATCTGCCATTACAATTCCTCTATTTGATCTGTGAAATCAAGGTCTCGAAATCAACCAGGTCCCAGACCTGGGCGAATTTTCCATCCACGACATGGTACAGCGTGAACTGATTCGTCTCAATCTTGCGGCCGGTTGCTTTGTAGCCTCGAAAATCACCCTTGTGAGTGCCCGTGACTTTGAAGAGAAGAGAAAGATAGTCGCCTTCGATGTTCAGGTTTCGCAGGTTCCAGTGCCAGTCGGGAAATGCGTCGATCATGGGCTGGAAGGAAGATGTTGCCTCTTCTGGGGTTATAGGCTTGTCGTTGACGACGAGGGGGGACGCGTAGAATGATCTCATCGCTTCAAAGTCATGGGCGTTGCAGTGTTCCAGATATGTTTTGTATAACGCTCGATACTCGTCAATTGAGTTGGATTGGCTGGGTGCTTGTTGGCTGGCCATTGTTTTGGTACGATGGGGCAAAACTAGCTCGTTTGGAAAAATATGACGATGAACCGTTGACGGGGAGCTTGTAAGGGGTATACGAGGCTAGACGAGAGTGGAGCTGCTAATGGATCTTGGATATTAGACAACCGTTCTCTGTACAAACACTGGTAATTTATATTTGGAATGCGAGCAGCAGTATTGTCTGATGATATTATCCAAAGCTTACGTTGTCGCTGACTGATCTTTGTCATGGCTGAGCATGTATGATGATAGGCTGGAAAGAGAGTCAGCGCAGCATATTGCCTGAAATTGATATAATCATATGCAGGCCAAGATATGACCATCAGGCCGAGGAATTCTGTCCTTCTGCAATGATTATATACACATACAAGATCTCTGCCGGGTCAGTCAACACAGAAATTAAGGGAAACATGGGAAAAGCAATCATTCGAGATGAATCATAACGCTTCGGAGTTGGAAGTGACGAGGCCAGGTCTGACGAGATTTGAATCTCTGTCAAATTAATAGCGGCTGGCCATACTTCTTAGAGCAACCGAAATGGCCTTGACATTGACAGTGAATCTTTTAGGGTTATTCCTATTCGTGTCGGCATCTGCAGAAGAAACAAATGCCCGTAGAAGATTCAGGCAGGTCTGCTAACTCTGCTTACGCCCATCAAAATGAGGCTCTTTACAAGAAGGATGGTCCTAGTTGGCATGTCAAGCTGCATTTGACATTGACTTTGCTAGACCAAGCTAACCAAGATCCAGATTGAACTCTATCGACACCTTTGGACTGTGCTGTTTTTCGACAAGGAGAACCCTGATCGGCGAAGTGTTAGCCGCGTTTGACGCATGCCATATCCAACTAAGCCCCATTCAAAGCTAGCCCAAACCCACAGCCTTTATCAGAATTGACTCGCGCTCTGCAGCGTGAACCCTGCGCGCGTCGTAACGAGATATGACGGACCCTGCAATTGAGTGGATTCAACTGAAACTGGACCCCTCAACGAGTGAGGCGTTTCTAGTCCAGTTCGTGAGACATTACTTATTCTATCGTGCCTCCCCTCCATATTCTCTCCTGTTTGCTTAATATCTTTGCAGTCTATTTGAACCTCATCATGTCTAACCCTACTATCGTCTTCGCTCCTGGTGCGTGGCACACAGCTGATTGCTACGATGTCGTGCGGAAAGAACTCCACGCCAAGGGCTGGGAGACTGAAGCTGTTGATTACCCCTCCGTCGGCGCTGAGCCTCCTACTAAGGGACTAAGCGATGATGTCGCCGCTGTGCGAGCTGTTGTTGAGAAGTTGGCTGAGGAGGGTAAGAAGGTCATGGTTGTCGTGCACTCGTACGGTGGACTTGTCGGCGCTGAGGCTGTTAAAGGCTTGGGCTTGAAGCAGCGCGTGCAGGAGGGCAAGACAGGCGGTGTGATTCAGCTTGTTTATCTGAGTGCTTTCGTCATGCCAAAGGGAGTTAGCATCCTTGCGGCCCTTGGAGGACAGTATCTTCCTTGGATGCGAGTCGAGGTGAGTTGTATATCGCTCATACTACGATGATTGTCTAACAGCGAACAGGGAGACTATGTCTACGCTGACACTCCCGAGAACGTCTTCTACCACGACGTTGATCCTGAAACGCAAACCAAGGCCATTGCTGCGTTGAAGCATCAATCTCGCCGCGTGTACACCGACAACGTCGAGTATGAGCCGTGGCACGACGTTCCGTGCTTCTTCATTTTCTGCGATGAAGACCGTGCCATTCCTTTGGCTATTCAGGAGAATCTGGCTTCTACGCTGGGTCCCAATGCTGCGAGCTTTCACATCAAGAGCTCTCACTCGCCGTTCCTGTCGCTGCCGAAGGAGACGGTTGAGGGGCTGGAGAAGGCTGCTCACGATGGATTGACTAAGAGCTCAAGCTAGATTTGTTGGGGGATTTTATGGTATGAGTTCAATGTTAGCGAATGGAAATCATGATTTGATGGGAAGATACATTGCACAGTCATTTGTGATGAGTATATGCTATTCTGATCACGTACAGGGCTTAACTCGTGATCAGACTCATATCATCCGCTGGTGATTCACTCATTTCACGTTGTACAAGATATTTATTCCTGGAGATGGTTCTGTACACAAGACCTACTCGATTTGTCGCACGTGGACACTTGAACTTTGTATAGAGTTTTGAGTCTTTAGGCACCAAGCCCAGGCAGCCATCATGTCTCCTGATTTTCACTTTCTCTCGTCTCTCGATCCAATCACAAACCGAAACCTTGTTCAAAAGATCTCATCGGCGTTTTGTCTTCGTCTGTGATGATATCATGGAAAACCTTGATTTCTTGTCCAGCTATAAAGCCCGCAGTGTCCCCTCTTCACCCCTCACCCATCCAGTGAAAAACTTATCTTCGTTCAAACATGTCTTCTGACATCTTCAACCGGCTCCCGCCCGAGATTCACATCAACATTGTGAAATATCTCAAGACTCAGGAAGGCAACACCCAACTTCATCTAATGCAAGCTTTGGTAAACCTTGCTTTAAATCAGGACTTTGGATCTTTTTCAAGCTATAAGTCACTTCGAGACGTTCGATCTTTTACCTCGGCTTCCCCAACCGCAAGACGTTATTTCCATGCCAACCAATGCGCCTCTTTTGTACGGCCATATATCCAAAACATATCTAAGATTTTCCATGACGAATCACTCGTACCGTTAGCAGTGATTCTCCTGCAAGCGAGAAAGATACGTGCTCGGACTCGTGATTTAACGTCCTCCCAGATCGAGCAGAGCATCAGACCTTGTCTCGATGCGTTCACTCGCTTCGAAAACTCAGAGCCTGAAGAGGAATGGAAAGAGGACTTGGGTTGCATAAAAGCCCTGACCAACATGAATCGGGAATTTGATCACATCGTGAATCAATATCCGCTGGAAGGGCGGTCATATCGGAGCAATTTCATCAATCACTTCCTCCGTTACGATCTTTATTGCCAACTAGGATGTCACGGGGAAGAAAAGCTCTTTGCGGAAAACGAACACATCAAAGAACTCGAATCTCATCTCTACAAGCTCATTATACCAAAACCCCAAACTGGCAGCTGGGAAGCACTCAACATGATATGGTTGATGAAAAAGATACTCGGAAGCATCATGGAGTCCGTCGATTCCCAAGTCCAATATGTAGGGGATGGACGAAAAGAGATAAACCAAGTGGACGACATTATACGCCAAGGAGGGCCATCGGATTTCGTCACGCAGCGCCTCCGAGAATGCCGGTTTAGATCAAGACTCGAGTATGATACCAAGATATTTCTGGATCACGCTTGTCTACAGGGTTATCATTTTATTATGTATTTCAGACAACCTACAAGAGATGCACGGAATGCATTGATCGATATATTTTTCAAAATCACCGTTGAGAAATTGCAAAAGAAGGCTGGGATGTCCGGGTCTACTCGATGTGCTAGGAGGCTAGAAAGCTTATACCGCTCTCTCGCTAGTTGATGGTAACGCGAGATGAGTTCGGAGCTGGATGGATTTTGAAGCACAGAATGCCAGGTTTCGCTTCAGTTTGTATGACATAGCCACCTTCTAATAAATATTATTCACAAGATAATCTTGGGAGCGCGGTTAAAAGAGAGTTAGCGAGGCAAAACCTTGGATATTGGATGATCTGAGATGCACAAAAATAAAGCACAAGAAAGAAGAAACCTTCATTAAGCTACTAGATCTTTACAGAAAATCAGGGCTATGTAAAGTATTATAAATATGTGCACTTATAGAGCTCGAGAGTTTATATGGAATAAACATTACATGTTCTCCATTGTCTGAAGTTATTTTGATGAGATACTGGAAGCCTTTGTACAAACTAAAGAAGCCTGAAATACGAAGCTGAGCGTATAAATGTGTGATTACATGCTGAGAAACAGGTAGACTCGCAAGCGCGGCTGTAATAACTTAATAGATAAGAGTAGAAGCACGCTGATTCGAATGCTGAGCCGTAGTTCTGTCGACAAGAAGTCTTTATCAATTATGCTTTATAGCCGAATAGGCTGCCCCTATCACAAAGGGCTACAGCGTAGTGACTTTCTCTTAGCAAGTATAATCAGTTTAACTCATATTTGGAAAACCATAATGCAAATACTGCTATATAAGAAACTGTTCTTCCTGTTTTGACACTTCCTGTAATTCATTCATGTGAGGCACAACTGCTCAAGTCTTGCTGACCAAACCTCATACTGCTAGCAAGACGGTAATCCCATGATATCTTTCATTATTCAACACACACCATTCATCACCCATATTTATGGAAATGTCCCGCAACACGAGCGATTCCACCATCTTTCTTGTTGGTGCCGCCGCATCCTTGGCTTTAAGCTGTCTGACCTTCTACCTCCAAAAAGACACTGGACCCCAATTCGAGAAAGCTGATTGCTTTGAGAAGCTTCCAGCGGAGCTCAAGTTCGAAGTATTCGAGCAACTCGACTCAATGTGCGATGTAGCATCACTCGCCGCGGCTTCTCCGTCAGTACGAGCTTGCTACCGAGCGAACCAAGACCAGATCCCCGGACACAATGTTTCTTACATCCGAGAGATATTCTATAATGATGAGCTTATCCCTCTGGCTTTGCTGGTTGCGAGGATGCGACGTCGGTTGAAAAGGCGCCAGAACATACATCAAGTGGTCGGACTTCTGGAACACTATGTTCATGGAGGCAAGTCTAAACTGTTTCGGCGGAAGTTTGACAACTGGGAGGAGAACCTCGCACAGATCCAAGATCTCGTCAATATGAGCACAGAGATTCTAAATCTTTGTCCGCGGTCTTCCTATGGGCCATCAACAGCATTTTACAAGCCACTTCTATCCAAGCTGTGGCACCACAGATTCGTGGAAACCTATCTGCGCGATGAGATCAGTAACACCATGAAGCGCTATGGCGACAGCATAATGCTTCCGCCTCAAGAAAATCTTAATCCTGAGCTATACGTGTTCTTGTTCACGCGCAACTATGTGAGAAGCAGACTGCCTGACAGTAAGTCCACCCGCCCTACTACCCTATCAGATTGTGTGAAGCTAACGTTTGCCAGATTATACTGCTGATATAGTAGACCTGAATGTCGCTCTCGGTCGTCTTGATGCTGTAACCTTCCAAGAGATAGGTTTTAGTATATGCGATCCCTTGGACGGCCTGGGGATGTCAAGGAACAGGAAGCAAGAGATACAAAGTTGGAGAGATGGGCGAAAGGAAGCCTGGAAGGAGGAGGATGAGAAGGCTGAGAATGGGCAATTGGTGGTTTATGACGGCTTCGGGCGGCTCCTCTCGGCCTATGAAGTTGCGAAAATGGATCAAACTACCGGCCGGTAGTGGTGTTAAGCTAACTAACCTAATTACAACTTAGCCAAAAGAACAAAGGCACCAGCTAGCATGCCTCTAAGTCCGGCAAAAGAGTTATCATCTAGGTTTTCCATTTATCAGCTTTATACTATAGCAATTGGTTAGTCATTATCATGTAATGCTTAAATCATTATCTAGATGTATTGCAGTTAAGACTTATTGAATCAGCAGAGAACTTGGAATCAAGGTAGAGAAACTACTGTAACACCTGTAGTGCTCAGTTCTAGATCACCATTAACTACCAGGATTTGTAATTTAAAGTTAGCCCAAGTCTCCTGTAGAACGAAATTCTTCAACTACATCGAGCTTTTCTACCAAAAATGACCCTTTCTTGATCTGACGCATTCAACACTAGGTATAAGAAACTCAGAGACGAATACTTTAATACTCAGATAAATGTGAATCTAATGATATAATAGAAAAAAGGAATGCCCGCCTCAGCTTTTTGATACAGTCTACACAAATTATAATGCTCCTTGGTTCTAACTACAGATGGCTTCGCTCAGAAAGGCTCGAACGCACCGCCATGGCAGCTCGCGTGCCCTCCTCAATGGCTCCATCAATAAAACTACGCCATCCAAGGGCCCAATCGGAGCAGGCAAAGATGATGTTGCCCTGCGTGGCTCGCATGTCGCCAAGATGATCGGTCAGCAGACCAGGTCGAGAGAAGAACCTGAAATTGTTAGCTCCGCTATATCAAAGCAAGTTGCATGACTTACCAAGCCCCCTTTGCAAACTCATCCTTGGACCAGTTGTGAAAGACCAAGCGCTTGATATCCATCGGAGAAAAGCCCTGAAAAGCAGCTTTGGTCTTTTCAATATCCTCCTCGGGATGGAAGTGGTTGTGCTGACCACCAAATGCCACGATGTGAGTGTTACCAGCAGGGGTAGTACCATCTCCAAAGCCGTATGAGAGCTTGTTGTGAGGATAGCTGATACTAGTCATTGAGCGAAGATCTCGATCAGAAACCTCGGCATGAACTTTGGTGCACTGGTTGACATGACCAATATCCGCCGCCGCTTTCTTCCCAGGCATCAGAGGAGGATCGAAATGCACATCGTTAAGAATGTTAAGCGGCATAGCGCTAATCATCTTCAGCGCTCTGAACTTCTGACCACTTCTCGCAGTAACTTCAACACCGGCAGGACCACTCTTGACAGAAGCAATAGGTGTGCTGAAAGAGTATGTCAAGTTTCCACTCGCCAAAGCCTCCTTGAAGAAACGAATAGAGAAGCTTGACTGGCCCCCCTTGAACTTGTACTTGACAAGATACTCGATGCAACCTTGGTATGTATAACCGCTTAGAGCCCACCAGTGCAAGAACTCGTAGAAGCTAGTGGTCTCAAGGGTGCCGCCGCTGCAGAGAAGCACAAAGGCTTCTAGGCATATACGCTCGTTGGGGGTTAGATCGTTTTGGATCTCAGCGAGACGGTCTGCAATGGACATGCGGTCGTATTTGGCGGCTGTTGGGCCGAGATTTGCGCTGTGGGGGAAGACTAATGCTTCTCGACCGCCTTGACCGTCGATGTTGACGAGTTTCTCAAGGCCATTTTGCATTAGTTGATCCTGGGTTCGTTAGTCTGGATTCTTGACCTCATATAGATTCTGGACTTACCTCTTCTTCGTGGGTGAACTTTTGAGTGCCCTCAGGTGTTACCAGAAGATACTTGTTGACACCTCTTGAGAAGTCATATGAGATCTCAAGTTCATCTTGCATACCATATCGAGAGATTTCACGCCATACGTTTGGTTGTCCCCAGTATACCCAGGTACCACCCATTTCATATGGATAGCCCTCGATATTTGAGCTCCATGACCGGCCTCCAATGCGATCACGAGCTTCAATGAGCAACACTTTGAGGCCTGGTGTTTGTTAGCTATGTGCCATGGTTGGAAGAGCTTATACTCACCAGCAACGGCTGCATCACGAGCCGCAGTTAGACCACAGTAACCAGCACCAACAACAATCACATCAAACTTTGTGTTCTTGTCTGAGAGGTTGGTAGGAGGGTTGATGGCTCCAATGCATGGAACACCAGCCTTGAGTCCTTGGGACTCAGTCCATGAGAAGCCGTCTCGAGAAGACATTGTTAAGACTTTTGCTCAAGCTTGATAACAAAGACTGAATTACGCGTCCCTCGAGTCAATACAACTCGAATGCTAAAGACACTTGCGCAACAAAACAAGAATGATAGGCAGAATCAACCAGAAGTATCGTCGAGGACGGCTACTCATTTTATCCTCGGTCCGTGTTCTCATCCTCGCCCCCAGTGCCCATTTCCCCAAACGGAAATTTCTCGAGAAGATAACGATGATCCTCTATCTAGTCCAAAACCTCACGATACGAAGATCTCGCCCCATCGCGATATCAGTTATCTCTGACGCGAATTACCGCATCCGGTAATTTCGCGAGAGACCCAAACAATCTAGATCTCCCCCGCAATCCGCTAGGACCCAGCATCAAGGTTGGCGCTAGCAAGCCAATTCCTTGGCCAGCCCGGAAACCAATGAACTATGTCATTCTTCTCGTAAATCTGCCGGATTCGGTATATTCAGTGGAGATGCACTGATATCGCAAAACCTGGGGTAATGGACCATGTCTTATCAGGATATCTCGGCAGATTGGAAGTGTTTGAATGATAAGTTGACAGTCAAGGCAGTGTAGATTGACGTGCTGTTGGAGATTCGCGCAACGGTGGCCCCCTTTCCCTGATAGGTCTTATCAACGCAAGTGGCTCGGCCGTGTGACCTTGGGAAACGAGTATATGAGTCAAGCGTTTTCTCCTTTGATACTCCAACGAGAAAACACTCCATCATAACAGAACGCAACAATAGCCAAGATGACTTCTTCAACGCAGGAGGGCGCTCTTCAGCAGCGTCTCTCGACTTTGACCATGGTCGCTATGGCCTTTGCCATTCTCAAGTTCGTCATACCCTGTTTGTTCCTGGCAATGGCTAACCCTCGTCAGTACATGGATTGCACTCGCTGGTACTATGGCGTACATTCTCCCCTCTGGGGGCTCGGTGTCGTTCATCTATGGATTCATAGTTTGTGTTTTCTGCAACTTGGCTCTTGCTGCTAGTCTGGGAGAGATGGCAGCACTTTGGCCAACTGCTGGTAAGAACAGATTCGAGTATGTCCTAGGAACAATGGCTGATTACTTCTAGGTGGACAGTACCACTTTATGTACGCTCTTTGTACACCGAAGTGGAAACGGCCTATGGTACGCTGAACTCAGTAACTGACGAACAAAGACTAACACTTGAAAGAGTTTCTTCGTTGGATGGACCAACATTGCTGGCTGGTTGACTATTGTGACAACTCAAGCCTTCTTTGCTGGTAAGATATCGCAAATGGACGTCAGTAAATCGATTACTAACTGGTATAACTTAGCTCAACTAGTCTCCGCAGCAGCCGTCGTCGCATCGGATAACGCATACGAAGCAACACAATGGAAGACATATCTCTTCTTCCTCGCCATACTTACCTTCGGAACGGTCGGCAACGTTTGGGGCAACAAGATCCTCGGTCGCTGGAATGACATGGCTCGTAAGTCCCCTGTAGCATATCCCGTCCCACCAACTTACACAGTGGATAGTGTATTGGTCTGTCCTCTCGGTTGTAATCATGAGCATCATCCTCCTTTCCATGTCACCAAAGACCGATGCTCGCCAGGTCTTTACAGAATTCAGAAATGAGACTGGTTGGTCAGATGGTGTCGCTTGGATCCTTGGCTTACTCCAATCTGCCCTGTCGCTTATTGGGTTTGATGTTGTCTTGCATCTAACTGAAGAGATGCCTAACCCATCGAGAGATGCACCTCGAGCAATGATGCTAGCAATAGTCATTGGCGGTGTCACGTAAGTTGTTCTATCCCTTCTGCTCCAGGACTGTTTACTAACATGGTTCAGTGGCTTCCTGTTCATCCTCGTCATCCTCTTCTGCCTCACAGACCCAGAAACGATCCTCGCCTCCAATACAGGCATGCCTATCGTCGAACTCTTCCTCCAAAGCACAAAGAGTCGTGCCGCTGCCACTATCCTAGCCCTCATGCTAAGTGTCTGTTTCATCAACGGCACATCAGCCAGTATCACCAGCGCAAGTCGTCTTCTCTACGCCATGGCCAGAGACAAGGGTATCATCTGCCATAACTACTTTGCGCACATTGAACCGAAGCTAGATGTCCCCGTCCGCACAATCACCTTGTGTTTCATCTTCAACGTCCTATTTGGACTCTTGTATCTTGGTCTTGCTGTGGCTTTCGGTGCTTACATTGCTTCGTGCACTATCTTTCTTAACGTATCTTATGTCGGACCTGTCATTGCCTTGTTGGTTAGAGGCAGAAGTATCCTCAAGGAGTACCAGACAAGAAAGACACCGGCCAGGATGGGCTTGAGGACTGGTGCTGCTGTCAATGTCATCGCAAGTGTCTTTGTCGTTGTCATCACTATCGTAAGTATAAGATAACCTGGTCTTCTCAACTCTTCGCTGACCCTTCGCAGTTCTTCTGTTTTCCGACTGCCCTCCCCGTGTCAGCTAATACCATGAGTAAGCATATCTGTCCTCAGTACCTAGAAGTTTACTAATCTGGACAGACTACGTTTCCGCTGTCGTCGGCGTTTTCTACCTACTTCTGGCTCTGTACTGGATCGTCTATGGCAAGACCTTTGAAGGCCCTGTAAGTCAACCACGGAGTCTAAAATGAAAGTCTTGCTCATCTTCTAACACAATACCAGAACTTTGAGGCCATCATTGGACAGCCTTTACAGATCAAAGGAGAACATGAGATAGAAGCAGTTCAGGAGAAGTCTGAAACGTCAACAAAGGCTTGACTCTTAATCCGATATCTATTGCAAATCAGAGGATATTTATAACAATAAATGCTTTTCAGATCATTGCTAGGAGAAGTGATAAGAGGAGAACAGTGACTTGCAAGTTTGCGAGCAAACAGTAGCATTCTTCGAAGGACAAATCTCTCAAAGCCATGACTGTTGAGAAGCAAGAAAAGTCTGACTAGGTTGATCTAATGCTCCACTAAACTACATTAAACTGCTCCAAATTCTTTCGCAGTTTAGGTTATGCTTAGGGCCGTCGTGTTTGGAACGTTCAACCTTGTTCCTTAGTTGAGAACGATGGTGCTGCAGTATGGCCAAGGGTCGGGAACCTCTGCATCAAGCGTTGAAGATTGTTTGAACTTGAATGAAGTCGCAATGTCTGAAAAAGTAGGATGGACTGAAAGGCTGGTTCCGGCTCATACAGCCTTGTAGCCGTCTTTCGATGATGAGCCTGGAGGTTCTGTAGAGGAATAAATATATCGGCGAATGGTGTACGGCTAACGAGATTGGAGTCACTTAACTTGTGAGCGATGTTGTTCAAATGCTCGTGTAGACCCTGGCTATTTGCAAAGACCTTTTCGAACACTTTAACCAACAACGCGGCAGACGTGATCACCAATAAACTCCTAGTCCGTTGGCGAGTGGGGGAGATAGGAGCACAAAGCCGCAAATAGGCATGTTTCTGTAATCCTCGGGAGGTAGGCGAATTGGCCCTAGTCTGGTCAAAGTCGGGTAGAGGAGGAGGTGAAGGAGACGCTGGTAGTGGAGAACATATCAGCCATTCGAAGTCGGCAAGCGACAGAACGGGGTAAGGAATCAAATAGTTCAAGCTTGCAAAGATATGTTATTTGTAATTGAGACTTGTGGTTGAAAGCTTATTCCGGCAGACAGAACTTGGCTCATATGATACTACATCAGGTTGGCCGGAAGAAGAGATTGCTGTAACAATCGAACTCAGGACAGCTTTTCAAGAGCTTGATCTGGGCCGGCGGCCCGATATTGATGGCTGTAGTCCAACGTCGCGTTCCTTCACATCATGATGGATGTCGAACTGTCTTGGTTCGTACTGTTACGTCGAATTGCAGGATGAAAGTTTGTCTCAGCTTTGTAGCACAACGGAAGCCATACCATTTGTAATTCATCAAGTGATGTACCACCGGATAAGCCGACGATTCATTTTATATGACAACTACGCACAGGGGGTTGATCATATCGGAAAGACGTGAATCAAGGTGTAATAACTTTGAGAACATAATGGAGGTATGATGACGGTGAGAGACTTACCACGCAAGTACTTCACAAGCAATAAAGGAGAAAGTTTGTGCAACCAATTAATTAGATGCTGACCATACCAAGAATACATGGGGTCCCTGTGAATAATACTTTTACTATAGAAGAGCCCCCGTAGCCGTATCATTTCAAAGCTCATTCAACTATAAAGACCCCATACCAAAAGTTCATCACCTCCATCTGCCTCTGCCTCTAGTCCTTCCAGCCATATACCCAGCCTAGTCAGTACCAGTGCCCTGCTTCTTGATGGTACCTCCATCGCGGCCATCGTCCCTCGCCTTGCGCTTTATGCCCCTGTCCCGCGTCTCGGGCCCAGCTGTATCAGAGAAGGGCGCATCGATCTCGGCCTGCCCTAATTCCTCGTGCTCCTGGGCCATGTGGCCGATATCCAAGGATTCTTCATCCTCAGAATCACTGCCCAAGCCGAACTCATCGCCGGGTTGCTGCTCGTGTTTTCTATCCTCGACACCCCGACGCGTCTGGTTGTGACGGCTCGCAGCTCCCCGCTCTTTGCTGCCTCGATCGCGAGCTTTAGCGACAGCAGCAACAAGCCTTTCGAAGAAGTGGTTGGAAAGCTCCTCGGGTCGACTGGATAGGTGGGCCTCGATCTCTTCCGGAGATCCAAAGGTGGACGTGAGCTCGCGGCAGCCGTCGACGATCCACTCAACATTCTCTGTCCACCAATCCTGAATCTGAGTTTTAGGATTAGCCAGCAGCAACTTGGCAACGACAGAGAAAACGTGTCCAAGGCCTATCATGTCGTTTGAATGATACTCCAAATCGTGCCCGCTGACACCTCGCTCAACAACCCAGGCATAGCGGTTGAAAGGCTGATGCCAGGATGTCTTGATGAGCTCAAAGATGCAAATCTCACGCATCGCATCAGTCATCCAGTCAGGGAGCATAACTTCTGCAGACAACTGGTTCGCCCACTTGGTGACGCAAATGCGCTCTATGTTGTCATAGTAGCTGTTCTTCAACTTGATGAGGTGGAACTTGACAGGCTTGGCCTGGTTGATTCGGATCAGGCGGCCGATGATTTGAAGCATGGCTTTTGCGGTCATAAGCCAGTTCATGAAAATGCCTCTGCAGCAGCAGGTATGCATATTGACACTAGTACCCATGTTACTCGCATTGGCGACAAATACCTCGATGCCTGAGCTAGGGTCGTTCCACTTGGCAATAATGTTGTTTTTGATGCTGGAGCTGTCGGAGGGGCGAACGGTAACAACATCGAAACCAGCTATAGTAAACAGCTGAACCACGATACTATCGTATACAGTTAGCATATTGTCACAATTCCAAGCGGATGCGCTTGAAAAACGAATCCAAGTAAGCCTGCTCGAGCTCGGCAAGGGTTGGCACTTACGCTTGAATCCATGGTGAATCTACATAGACAAGGACACGTTCTTTCTCCTCTGACATACTGCCATACCAAATCCAAGGTCCGCGTCATGACGGGACTGGTGTAGCAGAGCCAGTGGATATAGCCAGCACGGTCGCTCGGTGGTAGTTGGGATGGGTCGGTGTTTGTCTGATGAAAGAAGAAGTTGAGTCCACCGTTGATGTCGTCGCGAAGAAGTTCTTGGACTTTGTCGACACCGACAACTGGTGGTGATGATGCCGCTTGCTTCTTGTTCTCTCGTTCCATCTGCGAATTTGTCCGTACAGTTTTGGGGTCTCGTACTTCCTTCATACACTGGTTGACGGCGTCTTGCTCCCCAAATATGACCGGATTATCTGGGTACAAGAGTCTGTAGTTCCGCCAGTCAAATGAAGTCAGGACACCCTTTTTGTGTTCGCCATAGTTCATCTTGGGAGGAGAGTCGTTGATCTGACGATTGATGGTCTCAGAGTTACCGCTTCGATGCATATCCTCGATGCTGGATTCCTTCATCTTCTTCTGGAACAGCTTTCTTGCCTGATCTTGTCCCATTTTTCGAACAACATCCACGATTTCTTTCGTTTCGTCGTGTGTTACTTCTTCGAGGACGATCGTCGAAGGGAGTAGATCCTGAGCAGGACAGCACACCTTTCCATCCGGCAATTTGAGCAGTGTCCTCATGGTACGGCGAACCTGGAGCATCTTGTAGATCGGTCGCACAACAAGATGACCAGCATCTGTTCCCCAATTGAATGCACTACCAGCAGCGCGGAAAATGGCCGGGTTGGTCATCCAGAGGCGACACTTGCCGCCAGACTTGTTGAAAACATCTTTGAGTGCGGCAAACTGGGGGAACTTTGTCAAGAAGGCTTCAGTGAAGATGCCATGCGTGACATCCTTCCCGTCGTTGAACTTGTTCTCTTCTGTATAAGGATCATAGCTCTCGTCGTACAACCCTGGCACCTAGCCAATTGATCGAAGTTCGACGTCAAGTTCAATACCATAAGCTGCCCACATGAGAGACAGAGGAGACAACAAGTCTCTAAAAGAACTCTGAACCGGGGTGCCAGTCACCCACAAAAGCTTCTTCCAGTCAAGAAGGCGCAGCATGTGATTATAGATTCCGTTGAGCCTTTTGGCAACGTGAGCATCGTCAGCAACAATAAACTCAAATGTTGCATTAGAGAAGGCTTTATTTTTGGACAGGCATTCGATGAGATTGGCGTCGGCCTTTTCGGCAGCCTTGGTTTCGTTCTGGGCGATAAACTCGATATCGTCCATATTAAGCTCACTGGTGGTGTAGTTCTTGATGGTCGCTTCCTCCTGCTCATCCTCGACATCCTCATCCTGGGCTTCAGAACCGTCTCTGGCCTTCGTTCGTTGTTTCATGACCCATGCCGGGGCTTTGCCATCCTTGAACACAAATGGTCGCTTTCTCTTCAAAACGGCGCGGCCGGACCATGTTGGATACGTGGAAATAATAACGACGCGACCATTCTATTGAAGATGTCAGATTCACAATTCCAAGCAGGGCTGTTTGAAATACCTTTGGATCATGCGCACGATCAGCGAAATGATTCAACAGACTAATGAATCTGTTGTTATCAACCACATCTGCTTTCCTCTCCGGGAACTCCCTGGGCGTGCTGTAGTAGACAATGATGTCGAGATTTTTGAAGTTCTCATGGCCCTCTTTCCAGGTCTGGCAAATCGAATTGACTGGTGTGAGAATAAGGGATGGGTAAAACCTGATGTCCGATTCGCCTCGAGTCTCCATGTCCATGTTATAACGCTCTTCTTGGCGTCTTTGATTGAGGACGATGGTGCTATAGTAGATTTTGGTTTTGCCCGTTCCCATGTCGTTTGAAAGGAAGGTATGTCGCCAGGAAGTCTCTCCACGTTGAACGGTGCTGACAGCATCTGGCACACATTAGTTAGTATGTCAGTGGTATTGACAAGCGGTTACAATTCCAAGCAGACGTGTTTGAGTATTGTGTGTCACAATTCCAAACAGACCGGCTTGGAATCCAACAACATCAAGGCGAACAAAACTTACCTTCCACTTGGTGGGGCTTGAGGGACTCAACATCCTCGCTGCCAGGATACAGTCTGAGATCAGGCCATTCTGCAATCCCAAACGTTGCACAAAGGGACTGCAGCCCTTCTTTAGACGGTTCTGGCTGAAGCGACGATAGCACGTGCTCCAGAGCGTACTGATGGCGACTGAGCTTTACCAGCTCTGCTTCTTTCTCAGGGTTTGCACGCCGAAACTCAGTCACAACTTCAGACTCCTCCTGGCTTCTGATGAAGTCGTTGATCTGAGTGCCTGGAAGAAAATTGTCGACATGTGTGATCGTTGCCTGAAGCCGAGCCAAATTGGTGTCAAAATCATGCTTTCCATGGACAGAGTTGAGACATCCAATAACAGCTTTGAAGCTTGCCTTGCTCAAAGGGTCCATATCTTTGATCCTGGCGTCAGTAATTCTCGCCTCGATGGCCAGTTTCGGTCGGGTGGACTGGACGGACTCCAACAACGCAGTGCAAACATCGGCATGTTGATTTCCGTTCACTGCAGGCGGGGCATTTGGATCCGGGGGTATCTGATCATCACTCAGGAGGTTGATGTCTCTGTCGCCATCCATCTGCTGCTCTCGGTACTTCTTCGTCCAAGCCTTTTGGGCTACCCGTCGCCCAAGGCCTTCCTCTTTAACACTGGCTCGAAATTTGGCACCCGCCACGAAAGAAACGTCCATGACCGTGTCGCCAACCTCCGGAACCTCTGCAAGCGCCGCCGCGGACTCATCGAAGTAGCCTACGAACCCCGCCTCGTTGGCGTTGCTAGATGGGGTCCGCGTTATCCAAGCCGTACGCTTAGATCGACGGCAAACAAGGGCGTAGAAGATCAAAATGGCACGGTGTAGATCTTCCATGGAAAACAAGCCTGCGACCTGTGTTCCAGTACCGCCACCGAATTCTGCAGGAGTTGGAAATCGATGAACATACTTCTCTCTGTCGCGAGAGTAAACACGCTCTCTGTCCTAGTCCATGGGAGCAAAGAGGAGAATCTGGACAGCATGGGCAAGAACAAATGCCTTTGTAGATATCTGTTCTTTGTTCAACAACACCCTGGAGTCCACGTGCTTGTTGAGGACGGGGATCAAAGTAGGCCTGGGACAAAGCTTCGCTACCCGGTCGACAAACGACTTGATGTCTTCGTCTTCGTCATAGGCTTTCAAGACGTCGTTTGGTGTCGGCTTTGGCATAGATGAGGCATTTTTCCCAACATCGAGGACTCGGAAATTTTCGTATATCTGTTCAATGAACTTCTGAAACTCAAATTCATCTCCTTCTGCATTGTCCCTGGTCTTCTAAACCATTGAGCCTGGTGCATTGGCATTGATCGTGTCTTCGTTGGGTCGGAAGTTCACAGCTAACAAGGCAGCCTTGCCGACAATCTCGGGGACTTCACGTATGGTTAGCATAATTCCAAGCAGACCTGCTCGAATTGTCTTACCAATGATGTCGATATACGACAAGAATTCCATTATGCCCTGAAAGGTGCAATACCTGGCAACTTGCAAAGGGGGATTGTCGACAACGAAGCTTTCCTGAATCAAGATACTATCCGGATACTTCCGCTTCTTGTGCTTTTCGCGATCTTCACCACCAATTTGTTGTTGTGTTCGCTCCGGGCCCTGGTGGAACACGTGCTTATAGTCGCTGTGCTGCTCGACCCACGCAGGCCATTTGAGACTTGGAGCAACTGGGCAAGTCTTTTCCACGTCGAAAATGCGAAATAGACTGATAAAGCCATGATGATGCTTGGCGGCGTCTTTGGCTTCCTGGGCCTCGGATGCGGTGCTTTGTCGGGGGGTTTTGCCGGTCGTCTTCTTCGCTGGAGCCCGACGCGGCATGTTGGCGAGGATGCTGCTCGGGTCACAATTGGATTCGATTTCAGCAATTCCAAGCACGGGTGCTTGAAAAGCTAAGAATGGTTGATTTCGAGCAGACGTGTTTGGAATCGTAAATCGTACTTTGAGAGACGCAAGTGTGGTATCGCGATCTTAGGTGCAGAATGGTATTGAAGGATCGAGAACACGATTGCCGATCCGAGTAAATGATTCCAAGTAGACGTGCTTAGAATTGCTTGGAATCGCGAACTTGGCGCTAAGTCGCAAAACAAGATAAAGAGGTTGTTGATGGCTCTGAATTCGTCAAAGGTTTAGAATAGCCGACTTCAACGATTCCAAGCAGACGTGCTTGATAATTCCGAATGGCAGAGAAGAGAAAAACGCAGCCCTGCCGGTCTGATCGATGAAGAATATGTAGGAGGAAAGAAGGAGGAAGTTGAAGAGGAGGAGGAAGAGAATTTATACTCGAGGAGCTGGCTGCTGATTAAGCGAGAGGCACGTGACTCTCTCATAGCTGGTAATTGTGTTATGTCTCAATCATGTCAGAAAAGTCCAGATAGTTGAGGATCAAGTTATCCATGAAGTTGCAGTCGTGATGCGGAGTGTTGTCAATTGGTGTGCTACCGTAGGCTAAATGGGCAAGGATTGTCTAAGTGGAACAGAAACTAACCCGTTGGAACGTTAGACAGGTGACACTAGACAAGAACAAGGTCCCTTGCTCTCCACCATATATATACATACAGGTTAATCAGAGCGGGAGAGTTCTTCAACAATCATTAACGTCGCAGTAACACAGACTGTCAAGTTTCGGTAAAATGAGTTCCATCTTCCTCAAGCCGCTGTGAGATTTGAGCAGGGTAAATGTCGGTCCGGCCTGCAGGAAACAACTCCTCTGCTTTATTACTTTTGCCTGTCGTTTCCATTGTTCCTTCCAACCTTGCCCTATCACCTCCGGACATACACTACGCTTAATAACACCATAACCTTGTTTTCAACTGAAAACAGAATACAGTCGCTGCCTTGAACCTTGATGACACCGTCATAGAACTATTAACATCAAGTGGGTATATTAGTATAGCAAAGCTAGCTATTTGATCTTTGTTGCATCCTCCGCGAAACGCTTCTACAAACACTCATGACGCATTCACTATTTGGTCAACTACCACTCAGCACCAGGCAGAGCAATCTCGGTTCCCTTGAAAGAACCGCTGACCTTTCCAAGCTCGAGGGCGGCGTTGATGACACCACCGAATCCTTCTCCGGCGATCAAACCAGCGGCGATCGCAAACGCATACATTTCAAAGTGATTGTTGAACCATTTTCGCCACCACCACGCTGTTATAGAACCAACTGCGTAATTCGTCAGTTAAAAACTCGAAAGATGATACCAGAATGACTTACAGAGAACGGCGTTGGCATATCCGGAGTCAGGGCCGAGAACCCAGGCGACACCGACGGACATCCAGTTGGGAAGCCAATTACGGTACTTCTCGCGGGAACCGACGAGCAAGAAGTGCTTCACGATAGCCTGGACAGCGCAAAGGATACCCATGGCAATGGAGAAATAGGCGGATGACTTGGGGATAGGGATGCTGGGCATAGTGACAGCAGTAGCGACAGCTTGCCAAGCAGCGACGGAGGGAGCAGCGAAAGGGCAGATATCAGCGGGATCGTCACTGGGTCGATAGACACAAGGGTAGGCAGACATGAAGAGAACGAAGATACCGGGGGCAAGGAAGACGGAGACGACAGTACCCATGGTCTGGGCGTAGAACTGCAGCTTGGGGGGAGTCTTGAGGAGGAAACCAACTCGGAAGTCGCTGACAAGAGAGTTGGCAACGTCGGCAGTACCGGAAGCGATGTTACCGGCAACAAGATTGATTCGCTGGGCATCCTTGATGGCGAAGTGGTTCTTGGTAATACCACCATAGACCAGCTGGGAGGCCTTGGCGGAAGCAGTAAGAGGAGCAACGTCAGTGACGGCGCCACCGTAGATGGACATGAAAGCGAAGATGACACCGAGGATACAGGCGAGGAGAGCAAGACCAGCGTTCATGTGGAACTGGACCTCGCCGACGATCATAGCGAGAATGAGAGCAGCGAGGGTACCGGTGACCCAGACCCAGGTAGGGACTTGGTCCTGAGCGGAAGCAAAGTCCTCAACACCACCATTGGCATCAGCCTTGGCAGCCTGCTTAGCGAACCATGCGTTGCTATGACCACGGGCCTGGAGTCTGTTGTTGATGGAGCGAGCAGACTCTTGGACGGCGAACTTGATACCATCCCAGACGACCTTTCCGTGGAGGAAGAACTCGATGAGAGAGTAGACCATGAGGACCATGACACCGGGCCAGAGCATCCAGTATCGGGGAGAGGGAACGTAGTCGGGATCGTCGACACCAGTCATGACGCTGAATCGAGTAATGCCTTCCCACTTACCCTCACCGACAGCGATACCAATGCACTCGCCATAGTGAACGAGAAGAGGACCGATAAGACCCCAGGCGAGAACAGTACCGCCAAACCAAGAGATAGCAGCGTTGAGGCCGACGAGAATGCCGGAACCGAAGAAGGCGGGAGTGAGCTGGATGTACCAACCCCAGTTCTCAGGCTCAAGAAGACCGCTGGCGGTGTATCCGGACCAGACGTAGAACCAGGTGAAGATGTGCCAGTTGTGAAGAATACCATCGGCATACTGTCCAACACAAATGATGAGCAGAGCAATGATGAAAGAGATACCCAGAGCCTTGATCTTTCGGACAGCATCGGCCGCACCGGATCCAACAGCGTGCATGGAGCGGATAGTCATAGCGGTGGCAGTAGGCGTGGGGAAGACGAGGTTAAGCTCTCTGGCGACGTTGATGATGAAGAATCGTCGGAGGGGAACAGCAGCGAATAGGCCGAAGAAGGCGCAGACGAAGGTGATAGTGAGGATACGACCAAAGTCCTTCTTGGGGTCGTCGGAGAGAAGGTCGAGACGGTACATGGCGGGGAGACCGGCGACAAAGACACCGGACATACCACCGGCGCCAGTGGCAGCGGCCTGGATGATGGAGTTCTCTTGGGGACCGAATTTGCCGCCGAGGATGGGGACGTGAGGGAGGGACTTTGTCAACATGAGGATGAAGCCATAACCGAAGATGGCGCCAAACATGGTAGCGGGGAAAGTGAAACCAGTCTTGAGACCTGCAGTTCGTTAGTATTATGAGATGAATGTTGAGATGTTTGAGGGTGAGCATACCGAGATAGACGTTGGAGGCGTTGACGAGAGAGCCGAGAATGATACCGACAACGACAGCACGGACGGTCAGAGGATTAGGCTCAGGCTCAACACCCTTGGCAGGAGGGAAGCTGGAGAACAGGTCGACGATACGATCATCTTCGCTGTCGGCCTCGGACTTGAGGTCCGTGTCGAAGTGAGGCTCCTTCTCATCGTAGCGATGCTGCGCGGTCTCATCGTATCGAGGCTGGAGTGTATCCTCGGGCACACGATCGGGGACGACTGTTTCGGCGACCATGATGGGCGATCAGTTGAAGAGTCAAAGGAGAGCTTGAACTGGCTGGTACGAGAACCCGAAGAACTGGGGGAGCAGCGATCTATTTATCATGTCTCCTGCAACGTCGTACAACAGCTGGCAGGTGTTATTCAGTGGTGGCACTTTTGGAACAGCGCCCCGATTGAGTAAGTGGCTGCCAATCCCATCTCTCTCTCTCTCACTCAAATCAATTCCGCACTTCGGGGGGAGGGGACTTTTTGCAAAGGCGCCAGAAGAGGAAGCGAGACAAACGATCTTTTGACGATTGCCAAATAAAGAGTCGAGCATCCACAGATTGGGCGGACCCCTTATCTTGGTGAGGGAGCCAATGAGGATGGGGCGGTTGTGTTTGGAGCTGCCAAAATGGGAGCAGTATTTTATCGTGTGCTTGAACTTTTGTGCATGAGATGAGTTGAGGACCAGGGGTCAAGGGCTCCACCCCCAGATAGAGGAGAGCGGGTGGCACCGAGGGAGGGCAACGGGCGATACGCGCCACATGTTGATTGATGTGTGAGAGTGTGTGTGCTACAGGGGATTAGGCATTAAAGATTTTATGGTTGTTATGGTTATCGGGGGGTCACTCTGCATTAGACTGTGAATGGTCAAGGGCGCTGCCACTCGCAATATCATTGCCTCACTAGGCCATACCATCACTGAATCACCAGGTACTCACTTTACCTACTCACTCATTCCATCCTCGGCGCATCATATTTAATTTAGACCACAATCCACAAACCCGCTTCAATTGCTCATACATCCAAATCTCCTGACATGTCCTCCGATAGCGCAGTCGTTCCCCATATCAATCAATCAATATCTCTCGCAATGCGAATGAATAATAAATCGGTATTACCCTCCAAACAGCATATCAGCGCCGCGCTAAACCCAAACGGTGGGTGTGCTCCGTGTGCTGGCCAATGGCTCGGGGAACCTTTGTTGCTCTTGGCGCACGCTGCGGGTACCTTTGCTAGTTGGAGAAGGGCCTTTTTGTTTGGAGATGCAACAGGGCATCAAAACTGCGGAATGGAATAACCTCTAGATACGTAGATAAGCCTAAATGGAGATCTGATGTTGCACCGAGGGCCCGTCCGTACTCAACAGCGTCATGGATATTCACAAGACACCAAAGCATTACAGCGATGCATTTTGTGCAGGTAGGTATTTACTTGACACTGCACTGTAGGTGAAACGGGCCCCTCATTTACAGTGCATCGCCTCCCCCGCATTCACTACAGCGCTCTGCTCTGATATTCCGCTGTCGAGTGCCGAGGCCAGGGATTGCCAAGGCCAAAGGGACCGCTGCTTGCATTTCTGGGATGATCGACCCTTGCCCCGTGCTATCTCGGCCCCCATACTCGCACTGCAGGAATCACCTGGTGTTCCCAAGCCAACATACAGAATGGACTTTTGTCTACGGAGCAGCTTGACTAGCCCCAATTCTACACATCACTCGACCCACTGCGTAACCAACAGACGATAGCGAGTTCCACGATCGTGATGCTATCTTAGTGAAAAAGAAGTGCCTACCCTATTGCCACTGAAATCAATTGCAACGTTTGATGCCACCATTTCTCATCCCAGCAAATCATCGGCGTCGCCATTGTCGATCAGTGTGTGTGTGCCTGGGAGGAAATTCTGGAAGATTGGAAGATCGGCTTGGCCACAGATACCAAGACCGTTGTACCCGTGGCCAAGAATGCGGCGACATGCACTATCCGATGCCCAGAGTTTTTTTTTGATGTTCATGGATAACTTCAAAACCGACTCGGTCGCGATGTTATCAATCGCCCGCCACGCGAGCTTCTATTTTCGCGTTCTACGCGGATGAGGATTGGAATCCCTGTATTTTTTGTGCTCCATGACAGATCGCGATACGATTACAGGTTGATAGCGATTCATTAGTGAGGTCTTAGTAAGATCCGTCACTTCAATCGTATCTGGACATATCTCGCGATTTCGAAGACATGCTTGACGTCGCTGTGGCGATTATCACATTGAGAGCGAGGTTGACAGCGCGAGAGATTCCTTTCGTCGCCTGTCCTGTTGAAATCGAATGTATCGTTTGTTCAAAATGTGGCATTCACCAAAGATACAGAGTGCACAATGCCTGCATGATTGCCACTTGGCACTCACCACCACCAACACAACGGCTGACTACCCTTGCAAGTAGTATCAATCGTCAATTCAAGGTTAAAACCTCTATTCTCCTGTTTCTCTCCGGCGCCAGGCTCCTTCACGTGCTAATGCAACCTTCCAACCACCAAAACCAACCAGGAAAACCTTCCAAAGCGCCTAATAAAACCCTTCCCCATATCAATTGGCCACTATCAAACAAGCATATCATTCAGCTCCGACCCAACAGTTAGGAAAAGTGCCCCAATCCGGGTTTTCGCCGGGGTCATCCTGACCTACCCCAGCCTGTCAAAGGTTCCAGTCTAGGGAGCTTCCACTTCGGGACACACTCTGTCGCTTCCCCGTGAATATCGCCCCCACAATCGGGATAGATTACATACGCACGGGAGGCGATTGCTGGTTACCAGAGGGTGATCCTCCAGGCGGGTTGTGGCGGGTTTTGGGAAAGATGGTTTTTGGGCCTTGATAAACCGATATCTGCTATGCTGATTTTGGAATGAGATGTTTGGGGTGACCGCGTGATGAGGGGATTGCCACAGAAGTTCCGGGAGGAGCTGATATACGAGGGGTAGAGGTGTTGTTGTTTGATAATGGATTGCGGCACGGGCGACTATCAAGGTCCTTTTTGAGAGACCTGCCCCAAAGCGTAACCTGTCAGCTTCACTAGGTCAGTATCTTGTCAGAAATATCGATCGAAAATGTTTTACACGATATCTCGGAGCATTTTACCAAGTTTCTAGTCGTGGCTTGGATGAGCTACCAGATAACATGAACAGACCAAGATGAAGATGTCAGCGGTCAATCTCGAATGACCATGATATACGAGGCTTATCAAATGAAGACGAGATAAGACGTCGGCTGCAAATCATGTCGCAACAAAAACTTATCTTTGTCGAGTTGATCACCTATGGCTACTACACGAGCTAATGTTCCGATGACTGAACTTGAAGAAATATTGGACAACTCAAGACATGGTACAAGTAGAAGTCTTGTACCTCAGGGAAACCTGTACTAAAGATGGACATTATCGAAAGTTCTGATATCCTCACTCCAACTCAGATCTGCCTTTCCGCCAATGTCGTCCCCGACCTAACCTCATGACTCAGTGATCCCAAGACCTGAGAACACAACTGTCTTACAACGCTCCAGATACTCTTTCACATCCGTCTCCATGTGCCAAGCATCATTATACGCCGCACTCAAACATAGCTCTCCCCGGAACGTTCCAAGAAACAGCCCCAGCCCATTTCCGAGCTCTTCACCCGTCACCCACGGATCTCTCGCCTCGATCGCCCCCGTCTCCGGCGCCACGATAGCATCAGTACGACCCATGCTCGAGATCGATACGGACGGATGAGCATTTGGCTCCGGCACAGGGAGGGGACGAGGACCAGAGGGAAGAGAGGGTGTAGCTTGGGAGAACATAGTTGGGGCGAGGACGTAGAATTCTTCGTCTTGTTTAACTGTGAGATAGAAGTCTTTGACGGTTTCGAGAATGGAGAGAAACTCCTTCTTGCGAGTTTGTGCGTCTGGCTCTGTGGAAGCTGGGTGTAGATCCATGTCGACGACAAGGCTTTGGCCAGAGACAGAATGGTAGACAGCTGCCGGATGACGAGCCGTGCTATATGGCGCTTGGCAACTTGAGCGCTCGTTGCGAAGGATGTAGTTGATGTATCGAACTCGCTTGGTCTGAGTCGGTTTATCCTGTAGGTCTCGCACGACCATAGCAGCTGCAGCATGGAAGACATGCGTCGGCGTAGTCTTGGCCATCTTGCACGCCTGCAGGAGCTGTTGCGTTTCCTCCCTGGTGAGAGTGAGTGCCAAGCGCTGGTGACGACCGGGCAGTAAATCACCCTGCTTATAAGGAAGAGCAAGAATCTCCACGCTGGGATCAGAAGCGGCAGCGGCTTTTTGAGCTGCCATCTGCTTGAGTCTATCGAGTTGAGCCTGATCGGGGATCTCGGGGATTTGAGCGGCGACTCGGTAGGATGGACTCAGGTTTGAAGTCTCACTGCCGTCGAGGGCGGGGGGTCCATAGGAGTTACCCTTTTGGTGGGCTTCTGAGGCGAGGGATATGAAGTTGTTGAGCATCATGAGAGTTCCGATGCCGTCGATGATGTCGTGAGGGGAGCGGAAGACGAGGTCCCGACGGATTTTCACAGACCCATCATCACCGTGCTCAGCTGGGAGATGCAAGACAAACATGGTTGGGAGCTTCGGAGCAGGAGGGTCTGAATTAGCCCACTGGTTCCCAGTCTGTCCGTTGGAGACATGGACAAGAGTCCTCTCCAGCCAAGCTTCCTTATCTGCATGTCCCTGCAGTTCTCTATAAGTCTTGATCCACTCTCCTGACTTAACGTCCTGGGAAACTTGAGATGCAAGTGTAGGGTGAGCGTATCTGAGTGCAAGCCATGCCTTTCTCAAAGCTTCGTCAACTTCAAGATCAGCATCATGCGACGAGCCCTTGGTATGCTTGATGGAGAGTGAAACATGCCCTGTCATTCCGAAGAACATACGACCACTTCCTTCGTAGAGGACGACCATCTTCGAGTAAAATTGCTCGATCTCATCGATATGACGTTGCCATACTCCAGGCTTGGCTTGATACCATTGAAAATCCCGAGTCGTAGTCATTTTGTTTGGTAAAATGATAGAATACTGAACGATCCTTGGTTATTCGATTAGTATCCAGATAAAATAATTGGAAATTCCAAAGAGCGCAAGCCGCCTTGATATAAGTAGCCCCCTCAGGCTTGACGTCGAGGAGGAACCATTCACCTATCGGGATTACGGGCCGTCTTCCGGGCTGCCCATCTAAACACTCACTGGTCCATCTGGTAAACCAAGGCAAAACTCTGGTTAAACAGCTCAATGATCCGAGAGTTGTGATGGAAGAAGCATATACCGCTATCATGAAGCCAATTAGATGACACCTTGTCAAGACCTTGATGTTGGTGGAGTTCTGATCACAAGTGGACTATCGATATTGCCAAATATGGATATTGAATAGAAAACACGCTATCCGAGCTAGGTATTAGAGACAGCGCGCTTGTCTGAATTCAGAAATCTAACCAACGTTTTATATCAGATGATATACAGAATCAAACCACTCCATGCGGCCGGGAAACTGGGTTTCTTCATGTACACTTCCTCCCCTTCTCTAAGCGCCAAGCAACGCTCAGGGCTTGGTGGCAGGCTCAGGACGCAAGCAAGGAAAGATGAGATTCCTCAACGCAAGTTTAATCATCTTATTTCCCAGCCTCTTACCCCTCGCTGCATACTCCTTCGAATCATTGACATGCGGAAACGGCACATCAGGAACTTCCTTGCCCAAAAACTGACACAACGGCTCCCAACCATCCGCAAGCTTGAAATCCAAAAGCTGCTCCTTGGGTACAGTATCTCTGATGTACTTGTTGTGTCGAACATACGCTGGTTTCAGGTATTCGATAACGTCGTTGGGAGAAGGCGCCCTCGTCCAGCCTTGATGAAACTTGTTGCACGGTCTCGGACTCAAGAACCCAGAGAGGTCACCGATCTTGGCTCCTAGTTTTCGTTGGAAGGGATTTGTTGAGCTCTTGACTACGACGTGCATGCTCGGAAACCACTTCTCGATATCGCGCTCGATAAGAATGACTTTGGCGTCGGGATAAGCTGGGATAAGCGACTCGGCGAAGAAAGAAGCGACATCCGAAACTGCATCATATTCTCCAAATACTTCGTCCCATTCCTCGCGGGAGAATGGCTTGCCGCGGTATGTTGGGATGTTGGTGAATGTTGCGTCGGCGGCTCTGTCGAAAATAGGCCATTGCCATTGAAGTTCCTCAAGCTCGGCAGCTTCCCAGCCGTGATGCACCTTGGGATAGCCAAGGATTTGCAGCGCCTTCATAAGCGATGCTGAGCCATTGCGGGGAGCGCCAAGGCATAGAATTGGTGGAGGTCGGGTCGCTTTCGGTGAAGTCGTTGACTCCTTGTCCTTTTCGCTCTGGGACGACGAGTCGACGGTCTTTTCTTGGTTGTCCATTTTGAGTAGAGTGATACTGAGAAATAAGAAGAGAAGACTGACAGAAGGGGAGAAGTGGCCAGGGAATCTCTTTATGAAGATCCTGCGCAACGCTAATTTCCCCGATGATGGCTGAGACACGAAAATCTTACGCCCAGACAGCATGGGCCCAGTTACACTGACGAGAACCCTGCAGCCTTTTTATAACCAGGGCATAAAGAATGGTGGACTCATGATAAAAGTATATGTCGAATGGCTGAGTTATTGAGAGTCAATATTAGGTAAAATGGCAATAGAGTCTATTCTGCCCAGAAGCCAAAAAAGCTAAAGTCTAGTTTTTACCGAAAGGCCACCAAGTGGTGAGGAGTAGATGTCTTCAGATCAATCAGTCAGACGGACGCCATGGATCATCATCAATTTCGCCCAATTGCCGTGTCAGACATGGCGCTTCGCGGGTAAGCACTTGTTCTAGCGGGCGTAGATCAGGCCCCATCGTATTCGCAGTTGAGAGGGATCTGCGGCACAAACGAAAGACCCCTGGTAAGCAAAGAAAAAAAGGTTATTCGGGATCCCGAGGGGCCGTAAGCTGACACGACATCCGATGGTACTGTGATGCTAGTGGCAGGCATTTGAGTCCGCACTGAACAGAGTCGTAAAATGATTTAGTGGACAGTTTCTTTTTGCGATAAGATGTTGAACAAGACAAAAAGAGCCTTTCTACTTCAGACGTTCAGCTACCGATGAAATCTCCCGGCTGATCCTGGATAGTGATCTCGGAAGTGTCGGCATATACCAGAATCCTGCGTAACCTTAAATCCATGTTTGCAACAACTACCGAACTTTTAATTGAATGGGCGGAGGATTCAATGCCTCGGCTTCTTGTCCACAAGCTTTCATTCCACGCCTTTGGAGCTTTTCTATCATCAATCTAGTAAATCTGTCAATGAAACTGCAACGATATGGACGGGAGAGATCTTACTCCGCTTCGGGGAACCGCTTCGGAAGTTGTTGCACAGCGCGCTTGTTCTGGGGAATGAGTGGCTCGCTGTTCTCGGAGGCTTGGTCGCGCAGCAAGCCACCGGGTTTCCCCTCCGTGATGTCTGGCAATGGAACATAGTCGCTGTACAAAGAAGACACTGAACCTCCACTTTGTGCATTGCCCGCCTTGATTCGGCCAGTACCGCGCAATACCGATATTTGGAGCTTTGAGAAGTTCTTGAATGCTTCTTCTGGTATAACTTCACCGCCATACTTGACGACTCTCCACCGAAGATGAAGTCTCAGATACTCCTCAATCTCACAAAAGTCCTTGAGAGAGTGATCGGGAATGTTGTCTCTCATATGATGAAGGAGATGGATCGTCAGAGGGACCTGAGCACATGAGAGGACCTGTGCTGCAGCTTGTCTCTTGCAGTTCCTACAAGAGCCTTCGAATGTGCTCTGTCTACCACCAAAAGAGTACACATGGCCGATGTAGTTGTGCTTTTCGAAAGTCGTCGTGTCTTTGGCTGGTGGTCCACCCATGAAAAACTGGATTGTGTAGGACAGACCGTCCAGGGCGTATCGGTCATACACAACATTGACGATGTAGTCTTTCCAAGACCCTGTTCGACTTTGACGTGGTTCTATTCCGTTGAGAATGATACTATACCCGGCCATCGGTTCAATGAGATGTCCTGTACCTGGGTATATCGTGTCGATATGCGATCGAAGCTCTCGCTGGAATTCCCCGGGTATGAAGCTTCCATGCTTTCGTATCGTTCTTTCAGTTACCTCCGCAAGGTCATCATACTGATAGTTCAGGTCTGTCCAATCTCGACAAGCCTGTGCAGTCCAGACTTCTTTTTCAGGATCGTTGTCTTTCCTGTGAAACGGTTCAAGAGGGTCCGTCTCTTTGTCGTCGGTGACACTGGAAGCTGTCATACCTGCGGTGGTAAGTTCGCATGATGGCTCGTCGTCAAACCAGAGCTTTGGGTTGAGACATTGCCATATAGCCAACAAGTGGTCTATCTGTCTGCTTTATGTTAGCCAGGTTGCGTAGACAGGCTATGTTGGATACGGACACGTGGTGAAGCCAAAAGATGGGATCAAACGCTGCTACTGGCACGTCGCTCATGTGCCCCATGCCGGTAGCATAGTCACTTCCTCCTGCCAAGTTCTGACGCTTCAGTCAGCTCAATCCACCATATTCGTCTGTCATCTTACATGTATGTTGTTGTGGATATACTCCAGAGAGATATATCCTGTTTTTGGACATCCTCTGCCTTCCGCTATCCACTTTGTCGAAGCAAACTGTCCCCAATTCGAGTTATAGCCCTTGGAAAACATGCTATTGACTGCATCTGATAGGCTTCCGGGGTTCCATGTATAGTCTTTCGAATGTTGCTCCATTGTGCTCCATCTAGGCTTGCCGTCAGGTCCATTCTCGTGGACTCTTGCAAGGCTGGCGTTAGATTTCCAGCAGTTATTTACCCCTTCAAGGCCTCTGAAGTATCTCGCGGGATCCTTCTCATCTTCTTCTCCCTTAAATATCCCATATCGGCTAGTTGCAGATGTCTTGCTCCACTAGGCGCAAGTCAGTAAGCGATAAATTGGAGCATCCGTTGGTAGACTCACTGGAGCCCAGTCACAGTCCTTCCTCAGTGGAGGTTCGTCGTGAACTATCGGGTTGTCATGGATATTCCATTTAGCCTTGGGTTCTGGCATGCTACCGAAGGAAAACGGCTTCCCTGTCTTTGGGTCCTTTTCTGGGTTCTCGAAACCCACCAGCGGGTTGGGATAGAGACCGCTTCGCGGAAATTGGTTCTTTATCGTAGTAGGTGGGTAGATTCGGACGGCTCCTTGCGTGAGAACTGAGGGGCAGACCAAGTCTTCATGGTACCTTTGCTGCCTAGCCCAGTCCCAGTATGGCATCCGCCAGCGCTTTGCTGCTGTGTACCACTCCTCCTCCTCGGAGATTGGCAATCCATACTCGCTCATCCAGTTATTGATGATTAGATTCATGTTCTCCCAGATACGTTGCTGTTCATTTCAGAACCGAATCAATTATGTCCAGGATCAGACCATACCTCGAAGAGAAGCATATAAGGTCTGTGCCATGCAGGAAAGTTCAGGCTGTTGTGGTTACAGTATCCACCGAAAGGCTGATCGCCGGCTTGTTTTGTCTTCTTGTCCGGGGCGTGTTTTGGCTCCGGCGCTCCGTCCCAGGCAACTTCGGGATACCCATGCTGAGCAAAGATCAATAAGGCATCAAACTATCGGAACACCTATACTTACGATTCCGGCAATCTGGAAGTAGGAGAGCTTATCGTCAACAGGTATCGACTTGAAGTGTTCCAAGGCGAGCACGAATAGCGTCCACTGCTTTCTCTCTTTTGGGTCATCTGAGTTGGCAAGAGACGATATCTCCTTGCGCACTGGAAGACCCCTCACGTAGGGAATTTCTCCGGGGTATCTCATGGCATTCGGTGGCCGCGGAAGGCCCTTGATGCCGTATGTTACACTTTCCGGAGGGATTGCTTCACCCATAATGGTGGATGGGTCTATAGAGACTCAAAGAGGAGATCCAGTGGTATAGAAATGTGGGCAGGCGGTGCAGAAGGCATCTTATACCTACAACAGGTCTAGAGTCTCACCAGTACGCCTATCTGCAATTATGACGCAAAGGGAAACTCTCGTAATTAAGTATTGGAACCCAACCCAGATTCTGCCGTCTGGATCTACACAAGTAGTCAAAGACACCAAGCCCGATAACCCGGCTCGCTGACCCAGTGATAACATCAGCTCCAATGTTCAGCCAATATGATGAAGGACAAGAGTAATCACAAACCCCAGAGGTCAAAGCTCAACCATTCTTGGAATCGAGTGTCTCACAATACCCATCTTTTGGGAATTTCACATGCATTAGATCAAGACATGAGCTGTAGCGAAGCCAACCAATGAGCCTAGTACCAGCCGCCAACGTCACAAGCTGAAGAGACCCCGGGATCTACGGCACTAGTTAGAACAAAGCTATCTCATTGGTCACTGAACGAAAAACTGCAGAGCTATCGAGCCAAACTAGCCAGCTCATACTTGTCGATTGAGCTGAACTTGGCGAAGGTCAACGAGAAACGGTAAGATCGTCAATGGTATCGCAGCGCCACGAACGGGTCAGCCCGGTTAGCTCATTGCCGACCGACAAAGAACTTGATTTTCGACATGATCTGACCCGAGTACCTTTAGATAACAACTCTACTTCAGCCCTCAAACTCTTCTCTCCTTCCTTATCCACAGCGCCCAACCCAGATGAACACCAACGGTGAATACGCCAGTTACAACACAATAGAGCCAGATCCAGTTCGACACACGCCGACCGGACTGCTCAAAGCTGAAGAAAGAAGTACTAAAGAAAGTCTTATCAGATAAGTCAGAAGAGTCAACATTTCATGGTTTGTCGAGGTCTTACCGCCACAAACGTCGCTGGCAGAAATGCGAGGGTGACCCATGCTATCGCTCTCATATCGGAGCTGTCTCGGAGTGCTGCTTCGGTCTTTTGGAGGTTCAAAGCACTATCGCGCTGTGCCATTAGATTGAGACACTATTTCTGATTAGCTGAGTGTGTGAGTTGTTTTGTGAATTCTGGCTACTTGCCGCTTGCATCTGCGCCTCTGCTCGCTTGGCGAGATACATACTTCGGGATCGATTGTTGCCTGACCACGTTTTGAAGGCCGCGATCTTCATCCTGATTGAGGGCGCTGCTCTCTCCCAAGAACCATCATCAGTATTGGGCTTAGCAAGACTATCATTTAGCTCGTGTAGCCAGTCGAGTAAACTCTCATTGACTTGACATTTGGCCTCGGTCATAGCACAATCCGAAGCAATAGAAGTGATCTTTCCTGGGGCAGCTTCAAAGTCAACATCCTGCTCGTGGCGCTGCTCCCAAACCCTGTCGCCGTAAGCATAGTGATTGAGTTCTTCATGATATTTATCATTACGGTAGTTTTTGTGAGTTCCAGTTCGCTTCTCTACCGAGTAGAGAGAATCTCTCATGAGGGTGAGTTTCTCTGCAGTACCTTCTATCCTCTGCTCCATCAGGATGAGTGGCACGAGAAGAGGGTGCCAGGCAAGGGCTTTGAGAGCTTGTAGACGAAGTAGCAGGTGTTTGGTGTCAGTCTTGTGCAACATGTGAGCTACGACGTGCGTAACTCTTGAGGCTGGGGAGTGGACAACAGAGATGCTGAAGTTGGCGAGGTTTGAGTCCCATCTCTCTGGTTTTACAACGAAGCCTAGTAATCATTCGATCAGTCTGCGGCACTTCGAAAGAGATAGCATATATTCATTCTCAAGCATACCTTTTAGGCCTGCTTGTAAGGGAACTTCGAACCAGGTAGGGGGCGTCTGCATCTGTTCAGTGCAGATAAAGGTATTTTCCAGGTGCAGCAAGTCGAGGTACTCCCTAAATCCTTTCCACGACAGAGGCGGGGCATTGTTGTTTTCAGTATTGAAAGGTAAAATTCTGGAAGGATTAGACAAACGCAAATAACTCAGAATTGAGAGTTTTAAGGGATCCTCTAGAGAATGCAGTACTTACATTAATCTGAGAATGCCTTTTGAACCGTCTTGCTGTGGGAGCTTAGATAACATCAGCACAGAAGTAACATGACAAAACACTCTCAATTTTACCTCAAATACTTTAGAAAGATCTGGCTCGGATTTGGGGTTGTTGGAGTCGAGGGGAACCTCGCTGTATTTAATCTCACTCTCATGCTATACGCAAAGCGTTAAAACCATACTACTCGAAATTGCAGTCTTTTACATACTGGTCCTTCAATTATTTCGACAAATCTTGCATCGTGCGAATCGACGAACTGATCGAAAAATGCGTCGCGCGGAGTGTTGGTGAACTTTTGGATCCAGGGCTTGACACTGCCGGCAGAAGAAATGGTAGGTTTCGTAAATGTCATGGTTTGGAACAATTGCAATGCTGGGCAATTGAGAAGAAAGACGATGTGTATTGTGTCAAATTGGGAGTTGAGAAAGGAGATGTATGAGATGGAGTCAGCATGCAGGCATAACAGCATTTTAATGGTAAGCCTCTTTTTCCACTTGGAGGATAGGCAACGAGGCATACCGACTAAAGTGGCTGTGCATTGCGGCTTGTGACTACAACTCTTTGAAATTGCGCATCTTAGATTCAATGGCCTGCATTAGTCTTACCAACCTTTATGGCATGCGATGCTGCATAAACAATTCCTTGGGAACGTGAACTGGGATAAAAGCCTTACTGTGTCCAGGAGATATAAGTGTTTGCTCTTTTGCGATCAGAAAATGACTTCCGAATTGCCGCCTCGCCACACGTGAGGCTGAATGGTTCCATGTACACCGTATGCTCCCCGTCTATGAGCAATGTCGACGGTCTAGACATGGGTCATGCAGAAGCTGAAATTTAGCTGCATGCTGAACGCCCCGGTGCAACCTGCCACTAGGGCTCGCCGCGTGACGCGTAATGTTTGATACTGGCATGGCAGAATGTATAGTATTTCAATCTGAGAAGAATTATCTCATTATTATCGAAATTCTCGACGCGCTGAAAACGAAGGGAAAATGCTATTCTAACTCGCCCTGGTAAGGCCATCCCATAAATGGATCCGGAGGTTGGTGCATGACCAGCTCGTCTCGTGCAGTTTGCTGGCTAGGACGACAAGCTCCGGCGACCTTGACATGCTCCTCAAAGAGTGGCTTTGTCAATCTGGCTCGTCTGCGTCGCGAAAAGGACCCGCTTACTACTGGTCTGGGCATGGGAGGCCAGCCAATCGTCACCCACAAACTCTTGGACTTGGCCAAGGAGACTATCATGAAGAGCCTATTCGCCCAAGGGCTAGGTTCTGAGGTCATCTCGAGCCTAGTTCAAGCGAGCCTTGAGGGAGGTTTTGGCTCACGTAGTATCTCCACCGAAGTGGTCGCAGGACTCGCCTCAGCTGATTACAACATTTCCGCAGCATCGCGCGTCATTCTGCAAGAAGAGACTTGTTACGAGGTAAGGTGGACTTCCTTATGATCCTTCGTCTTCTTCCTCCTTGGAGTAAACATTAACTAACTGGGAGCAGATGAGTATGATAGCATTCGTAGGCTATGTCAACACGTGGGTCGTTGGACAAGGGATCCTGAACCAACTGCCAACTGAGACCCTCACGCAGGAGATGGCCAGCGAAATGAATGAGGGGATGATCGAGAAAATTGCTGGTCAAACCGAGACAGTTATGGCGCAACACGCACGAGACAACTTGGACCTCCAAACAGTGGACGAGGTATTGAAGACGATGAGGGAGTATACGAAGGCCTAGTCTAGAGCAGGCAGAGGCTACGCCGTTGGGACCTTATACGTACTAAGTTTCAGAATACAGAATGTAGAATCTACATATATCCACCTGTTGATTTCAGCTCTTGTTATCCGTGTAAATTCTCTGGCTGCATAATCGGTTCTAGAGCATTAAGGGCTGACCGGAATGGATCCAACTCCTTGTAGGCCATGTATATCAGACGTCTTTTTACCTACCAATCATCTTAACGGCATATAATAACCTTAACTATCTAATAAATCGAGACACCAATATCTGCAACTAATTATTTAAGAAACTCTAAGAGCTTTAATAGGACTAACCGTCTTTAAGGGAACTTAATGTAAATTTAACTATATTTAATTATACTATATATAACCTTATTAATGCCTTATTTAAAGGATTATACTTATATATTAAAGTTTATTACTTATCTTAAAAATAAAATAACTTATTTCTTTTATTATTATATAGTTAGTAAATAATTTAATAGATATAATAAATTATTATTTTATTTACTTTTTTTAATTTTAAAAGAATAAAATATTTATTAAACTATTTAAGATGTTTTCTATAAAGATTTAAAAGAACTTACAGTTTCTCATATAACACTGGATGAGTATCGGACGACCCCAAGAAACCGCATCGCAGATAGCTGTAGCAAGTCCTCTTAATCACTCCAACCATCAAGCTCATGCCAAAGGGCTAGAACCTCAGGCTTATAAACGGACAGAGGACCGGGACCTACACAGGGAGTACCACAGGGCGGATTGACCCCAGCCGTATTTCACGGATTACAAGACACCGGTTGGTAAAGAATAAGCTCTGCAAGATTTTAATGTGTCCTGAATTTAATCTGAATATCCCATCATCAAGCCCGCACAGTGCACCGTTGGTCTTTCAGTCTCTCAGCCTCCCATCGCAGGTATTTGTTTAGACCATAACTTGTCTCGAAAATGGTTATTCAGGTCTCAACCTCTGAGGTGATTTTATAACCTTGCCAATTGCTTATTGCCTCTTGGCTTGCGTATCAGCTCGACGGCATGTTTCAGTTCAGCCAGGCTTTCTGCATAGGTTTCATCAGTTTGCCCATCTCCGGAAGCATCAAGTTTCTCAATCTCAGCCAGAAGCAGTTGCATGATAAATGGAGTAGCGTTCCTAAATGCAGTTTGTATAGCCTACACATTGCCATGTTACCGCAAGTTCTCAATGATGGGTACTGAAACTTACAGCATCCTCTGCTTGTCGGGCTCCATTCATTGTTTGAGTGGGGAAGGCGCGTTTTGGCACAGCATCACCATCAGAGAGGAAGGACATGGTGGGATGTCAAAGTGTATCTTGAGTCTATGTCGAATAGATGCTTAATTATTCAGAAAGAAATTCGAGATTGAATCAACGAGTTACAAATGAAAATATATGATACGCGTCGGTGAGATATCATCCGTATTTATTTATTTCGTTTAGTGGGATAGAGGTGAGATAGACATGCGAGCTGGCTGTGGGTGTCGACACAACTGCAAACGGGAGGAAAAGACACTCACCCATTGCCCCGGTGACGTTTGTCGTCAAATGGGATGCCGCCGTTGTATCGTGCATGAGACAAGGCGTGGAGCTAGGCATAGAGCTGGGCTCGAAGCCAGGCGTACAGTCGAGTCTGGAATAAGCACAATGTCGGGTGCACAGCCAGCGCACCCAAATAATGGGCCAATCAAATGTGCAGCCGGGAACAGAGCCAGGCTTGAAGCCATGTCCCAAGCCAACTTGCAAGCCCATTTTCAACCCCCAGGCGCTAACTAAGTAAGCCTTGCTTTCCGGGCTGGGAAACCAGGAAAATAATAAGAAGTTTGAATTTACACCCTACTGCTACGCGATAGATCTCTTTTAAATAACAGCAGACCCAGCAACTTTTCTTTTGCTGCCACATTGATCTGAATCATCAGAAATCAGCATCATGCCGCGAAACGATTTCCCCTCTGCGATCCAGGCTCCGATTTCACCTGGTTATAGCGCCGACTGGCCCTTAATGCCTTACCGCCCTGGCTCTTCTCAGCAGTCGAACGCCCTGGCAGGGTCCGCTGGCTGGCTCCAGTTCTTAGGTCCAGCCGCCGCATCGTCTGGAGAAGACCCAGACACCATGGCTGGAGTCGGCGACTTCAACTACGCTCAGCGTTTCAACGGCTTGAGCCTCAATGGATTCATTCCAGTTGAGCACCCAGGTGTCATGGGACATGTGGGAGACTACAGTCAAGACTTCGCGACACACATGTCTTCTGTACACCCGAATGTCATGGGGAAGCTCGATAGCATCCCCATCGCCAACCAAGCCTCACCACTCCTGGGTATTGATCCCAACAGGACCTATCCAAGCTTTGATGGAGGAGATCCTGCTACACAGTCAATTGAGAGCCCGCCTTCAAGCAACAATGGCTGGACCAAGGAGCAGGACAAACTTCTCATGAGTCTCAAAGCCCAAGGTCTTGGATATTCTGCTATTCAAGATGAGATGAGAAAGCAATTTGGATGGACTAGAAACAAGAATGTGTTGGTCAAGCGCTTCGCGGTGTTGAAGAAGCGCTGCAAACCGCAGATCAAAACTCGCGTAAGTAGAAACTACCTAAGTACATCGACTGCTACAAGTCATTAATGCGGTTTCTTCCAGATTGTTCGAGATATATCCAAAAAGATTACTCCCGACATCATCAAGGCTGTAGGAAAAGAACTCGAGAAAGTTACCTCATCCGGTAGCAATAGCATTGCAACAGAACTTGAGGACTTGGTCCCATTGAGGCTCCCGGAGTTTCTTGAACGGTTAGTTGCAGATGTTGGTGTCTCGCTTCATCAGATAGTTGAGGATGATAAAAGATCATCTGCTTGACTTTCGAGTTTTCCTATCTAATAGCTATCTTCTTATACTAAAATAAAAACAATTTAGATTCACTTATGCTTATTATTATGATAATACTCACAAATCAAGTATAAGAGTACATATATCAGCTAATCGGATATTTGTCTCATGTCATAGGGCGATAGTGTCTTGAACCTCAAAAAGACCGAAGCAGCACCCCGAACCACGCCTTGCAAGCTAGAACTTCAAAAAGAGGGTATCTTATCTGCAAACTTGACTTGGGGTTATTCAAGGATTATGCTTAGCCTTGAGGATCTTTCCTTAGCGCACTTTTGAATCGCTAAGTCAGACTTTAAGTGATATAATTGGCCAGTGCTATGGGGTTCTAGACCGCCATAGCAGCCCGGAATGAATAATAACGTGGAAAATGGAGCTAGTACCTGCACTATTGGCACAGCTGAAGCTGCTTTTTGTCAATAGTGTCAAGCCTCAAAAAACAAAATAAACCCCTGGGCTGAAAAACTTAAGATTTTAAGTATCCCTGGTTTCCTCATCTTCCCTTTCATGTTGTTAGTCCCTCACTCAGTCCAACCCTTGTCACTCTTTTCTCTGCGTGAAAATGCGTTTCGCTGCTTTTCTCTCTTTGGGCCTCGGCGCCAATATCGTAATTGCCAGTGTGTGCAAGCCGCGAAGTCGAACATCGAGTGACTCTAGTAAGTGAAATCTCCTTATAGAGCATCGAACCATTTACTAATTGATATTCAGGTAGTTTATCTACCGAGTCAGTGTCTGCGTCCTCGACAGGATCTATTGCTCTCTCTACTACAACTACAGACGTCGTGACAGCGACTACAACCTCCGGCGAATTATCTATCACTGTCACATCTACCGACGACAGTAAAACTTCTACCGAGGTGACCGAGTCACAGAGCACTAGCGTTGAGCTCTCAGCTTCCACTGCTTCAGAGACAACTTCAACGGAAATCCCTACTACGACTGCTGAAACCACCGCAACGGCTGAGGTCACGACATCTGCTGAAGCAACCACGACGTACGAGGCTACCACCACCGAAGACACCTTTGTGCCGATTCCTACCTTCAATATCAAGGCCCTAGGCTCAGACATCGATGGCCAATTGCTGCGAGGCGATCCAGCTATTTACAATGCCATCGGCTGGTATTCGCCCACTCCCCCAGTTCTCACATTGTCTATCGACGCCAGCACCAACTATGTAAGAGAGATAAACACCGGGAAATACTTGTGCGTTGCATTCGGAGGCGATAATTTCCCAAACTCCAATATGCTCTGCGACCCTAATAACCCCATGATGGGAGTTGTACCCATCACATGCGAACAAACTCGCGACCGAAAGCTCAAGTGCTCTGCACCAGCTGGTGAATGCCACTTGGACGAGTCGTCAGACACTACCAATTGCTGGACGGTTTCTGGTACCTGGGATAAGTTCTACGTGATCCATGGTCGGATAATCAACACTCCTGCTCTTGTCATGGCATCGAGTAGCGATCTTTCCACGCCCAACGATATGGAAGCCATCGAGCTTAAACTCATTCCCTATGCGGATTAGTTTTTATGGCCCCTGGCTGGCATCAGATCTTCATTTCTATCAAACATATTTTTAAGAGTTGTATTATATTCAATGTTGTAATTTAAACGACCCAAATAAATTCATAAGAATACGGCATCTAAAGAAATCTCTTACATTTTCCTATTGGGTGCGTTAGCAAGCCTGGGTCAAGTATAAGGTCAAGTTAGTTTCGGTGCATACCAGTAGGCGTTCAGCACCTACTAGCAAAATCCAGCCAGCCTCTTTTAAGCTTATACAGCCATATTTCTGCAAGCGCGCTGTAAAATGGTATGATATGAGCGCTTTGGGAAGAATGTGGCGCAGAAGCTGAGTTCTCTGTGGTGATATAAGCGAAGGAGCATTTGCTGGTCAGAATCCAGACCTCGTTTACTAACGCAAGCATAACGCCTTTTGTTTCCAAGCTCTTGAAGGCTTATCAGCTAACGCCAAACCCAGCATCTCAGATATGTAGACCAATTAGCTTCAGAAATGTCGGTCAACGAAATACGCTGTCAAAGGTTCAGCATTCTTGATAAATAAAGTCTGTTCTGCCTGATTCACTTACTTTTGTGCCGCAACAGCCATAATATTCGCACCACTACACTGGCAGACACAATGAGATTGCAGGGTTTGCTTCTTCAGTCGCTTCAGTGGTTTCTTCTCGTAGAGGTCGCAATCGCACAGAATACTCTCCAACAGACATGTACAGGCTTGAAGAATTTGTCAACCTGCAAGTTCGAGTTTTCCGTGCCATATGGCGTCAACGTTACCATGAAGACAGTCCCTGATAGAAAGGTCCTCACCCCTATATTATGATCGGCTCGGAGGTCGCTAATAGTCTAGCTTTAGTACGACGAATGCAAGTCCAAGGAGGAATACAAGAAGCCTTGTCCTACCCCAAAAAAGCCGAAGGCCATGTGTGATGCATGGAGATGTGTTCCAGGTATGAATCCTCCTTTAACGAGTTGGCATGCCTACTAACGCTGAGGAGGATGGATTGATACGACCAAGCAAGTCATCACAGGCTTGGAAGTCCTTACCAAAAAGGTAAACCTCTGCGACACTGTCCGAAAGATCTTGGGTCAGCCCCAAGGCGATAGCTTCATCAAGTCTTCCGACGCAATCTGCCAGTGCTTTCCCCGTATTGGTGAATTGAGTGCGACATCAGGCTTCAAGTCGTTTGACCAGGGGGTTTTATCGACCGCGGATTCAAAGGATGTCAACCAAGTCGTGAAAGTCCAAAAAGTACGCTCTCCCAATTTATATATCTCGAAGTTTATTAATCGGTGCTTTCTGGTAGTGTATAAATGATTCGGGCTTCAAGACAGCCGATGACCGGGACAAAGTCAGAAAGACCCTCCAGTCCATGGCAAAGCCCAAGGTGCTTATCATCGAGGGGCCTGAGGTATGTTCAGCTTGCATCAGCTTCTAAGTTATCCCATCAGTCTAACAAACCTTCAGATCAACGAAGATAGCTATTCAAAGCTTATGGCTATAAGCAAATCCTGTAAGCCAGGGTCCTCATGCACCGGCATGCAGATTCAAGAGACTATTCAGAACATTTTTACCCCATACATGGCCGACATTGCCCGTCAGTTTCGAGAGGGGCTCTTCGTTCCGTGGGTTCCCTTTCTCCGAGACCTGCTGCTTATCTCCAACGACTTTAATCTGGCGTCTCAAAATCTCGGGTCGCCTTTTATCAGCTTCCGGTCCAGGTTTGACTATGCGACCCAAACCTCTTGTGTTGAGCTGGGGAGCTGTGATGGACCTGCTGTGTCCTCTTTTTTCAAGCAAGGTAGGCTTATCAGAGTCCAACTCGCATCCACACCAACTAACAACATCTTAAAGTCGGCGATATAGTTAAGAGCACTCAACTTATTCATTACATGAGTGTCCCGGAAACATCGAATAATCTACTTACAACATACATCAAGGAGGCACAGGATGCTAACGAACTCGCCGAAGCACTCCCGGACGAGTCTGCAAGTGCTGATCTGTTCAGAGGGGGCGAAATTAAAGCTGTCCAAGATCTGTTCAAGTTCATACCCACCATTGACCGCACATTCCTCCTCCAAAGGAAGATAGGCTCGATAGTTGACTTTTACGCGGACTACTCGGCCGAAAATCGGGATCTTGTTACCTCAACATACAACTCACTGGTAGCCGTTTCCGATTCAAGATCCGATGTTATAGAATCAGAACTCAACATTCAAGAACGCCCCGAAAACGACAAGTTGCTGCAGCAGATAATCATGATGAAGTGGATCATGAAGGGGGAGATTCAAGGACATCTTTATACTATGAAGAGAGCTTTTGAGCGATACGATGACTCAATCGCCAAGTCATCATTTGGTCCTGGCAAGTCTGGCGTTGTCATGGAGCCGAGTGCCATTAGCTACCAGCGATGGACCAGGATTCCCAAGATGGCGATGCCTTGCTCGAAGCAAGTCATCAAGACTTTTAATAAGGCGGGGTTCACTAAGACGTTTTCGTTCACGGAGTATTCCAAGTGTATGGTTGAGGGCGCAACTGCATATTATCCCAGGCTTCAGATCCCTTACATTCGGATGACGTTGTAGATATTGGCAACTCAGACAGCTCAGGCATGTGCTCATTTAATAAATTAGTGGTGTAGGATAACTTCAACTGGCCAGTTGAGAAGATCATCCCATGGTGAACCCTTTACCTTTTCCACAATGGCAGTGATCAACGCCTCTGCCCAGTTCTCAAAGAACCAATACTCCGTTTCGCCCCAGTACAGTAGAATATCGTAGTACGCAAGAATGATAAGAGCCAACGGATGTCCTGACACTGCCAGGTCCAAGAAATCTCGCGGTACAGACATGGGCCACGAGAAGATGACCCTAAGCTCTGGCGGTGATACTTTGTACAGACTTGAAAACGCGTCATCGACGCAACCAGTGATGGATACGACGGCAGAAGTCAGCACGGCTCTGGACTGGTCTTCCATTGAGTCTGATGCTATTCGCCGCGCAAGCTCAGGTAATCTGGCGTGAAGACCGCGAAGAAGATAGCTGTTAACGTGTGGATGCGGCGTCTCGCAGAACAGCTCTTTCAGAGGACCATTTCTCAGATCCGCGGCTCCTGGAGAATGAAGGACAGCCTCCATGCCGTTGACGAGGGAAAAGATCTCCATGAGACTCTGAACAGGTTGGGAGCACCCATGACTTCGAAAGTCGTCGCAGTTTGGAAATGCCGCGAACTTGTTGACTACTATAAACGTCGTGCTAGCGTATAAGGCGTGGCAGTTTGATGAGTTGACTGGTTCAGACAGCGCTTCCCTGAGTCCACGTAGAGAAGCATTCTGATGTTTTGATGCTTGTAGGAGGTATATATGTCTCTTTTCGGGATGGAGGTGAGCGAGGTGATAGCCTGAAAAGGCCAATATTTGTCGAAGAAACCAGGGATATGCTAGAGCGACTT